AGTCCCCTCAGCAGCAACTTCCAAGCACGAACTTCCGAATGCCCGAGCATGGAGACCTCAGCCTAAGCCCCGCTAGAGCCCCAAATGCAACGTTCGACCCCAAAGCCGTTTGTCACCAAACCCACGATGTCGACTCGCCACGCAGCCAGTCCCTCCGAGGTGTTTTTTAGCAATGTGCCCTTCGATGTCGAGGAGGCCGCTGTATCACTGCAGAACTGGCTTAGATCAATGAGGTTCGAAGTTTCAGAGATACAGCAGTCGTACTTCTAAGGCATGCGTGTGCTGTAGTTTAGTGAGGGGGTGCTGCAAAGATCAGCCAGATCCAGCGACACTGACAGATAAACAAGTACCCCATTGGACCAGTGGGGCATTGGGTGCTGCTTGGGCTCAAGACCTCGTGCTGTTGTCTTGAGATGGATGTGCTCCGCGTGGCATGGCTGCTTTGGGTGTACATAATTGTCACTCCAGGATGCATCCACAAGTGACCGCGGCAGAACAGAACACGCACAGGCACAACTCAGTGCTCTCTTCGAAGAAGTGGGGGCTGTGAAGGCCAGGCACCGACTGACTGGGTTGGGCAACATAGGCAGGGCATTTAAGTCAGGTAAGCACGAATGCAGCTTGCTGCTCAATAGTAGTTTTTATCCATTCAATTGTCTTGGAGCTCTCGCACGTGTGGCAGAATTATCGCCACTGAGAGTTGCATGAACCTCTCAAACGCTGGTCAATCGATGGGCCACCCGACCTTTCCAAGTCAAAAGCATACTAGACCCCGGAACATGTCGCAACAGGCGCACGATGTTCACTGACTCATCACCCTGGCAAGTACATAGCTGAACTCCCTCCCCATGGATCACTCGCGAACAGCCAGGAGCTTTCCATCTTCAAGAATAAGGCTCAGTCCTCAGCCTGCTAGCAGTGGGCCATGCTCAGGGGACGTGTTGGCAGGGTGCCTCCCTGTGAAGCGGGGTGTTCTAGGTTCGGGCTTTCAGGTTGAAGTGATCGACAGTGGAAATATAGAATGCATGGTTAACAGTATATGGCCACAAGCATCATGGGGGCTAAGTGTTCGAAGTCGTGCCGGAGGTCGAGGAACGCACCGGTTCCATTCAGATGTGCGTAGTCAGAGCCATTCATATAGCCGGGTGGTTGTATTTCGTTTTTCAAAGAATAGGGCATTAAATGCAAAAGCAAGTGGCACACCTGATGCACAAAGCATGTAACAGGTTTGTCCGCCCACAAAGAAGGCAACCTTTGCCACAGACGCGCGCTCCAAGTCTTTGACCAGGAGCTGGCAGAAGGTCATGTGAGACTAAATTCCTCTCAAGACAAGCATCCAAAGAAGTCCCAAGAATGAGCTGCTGAGACACCATACCATCATGTGGGGCAGCAGGCAAGCTGGACTCATCCAGTCTACGTTAGTCCAGGCTGGTCTAGTCTCCTTTGGTGTGGTGTAGTGTATTGTTGTGTAATGATGTGGATGTGCACTTGTATGTGTAGATGTGTGCAACTATATATATATATATACACATTATTTATGTACACAAAATTTCAACAAATCCTATTTCACCTTTCATTGCCAGAGTACGAAGATAGGAAGCTTGCAGTTCACGGTGACCCGAATTTAGTAGAGACTCCCTGGCTTTCGTCGTCCGGATCAAAGGATGGCGGCTCCAGAGGGATGGGTGTGGCACTCAGGCCTTGCATTCTAGGCCTGTTTTCTGCTGTTTTTGGCGATGGCTACAACAAGCGCTTAGAGGTTGAGGATTGCTTTTGACAGTCCCGGTCGCAAACCTTCCGAGTTTGGATGACCCCCAGTTGCTCTTGCCGTAAAAACCGGCATGACAAGCCAAGCTTGTTTTGCATCCGGGCTCGATGCCGGGGAATCATTGCTTTTCACTGCTACCGTATGCCTTAGTCCATCTCTGATAGTCTTAGACTTTGCTGAAAGCTTCAAAGCAACCTCCAGCGAGCGCACCAGGCCTAATTCTTTCACGGTTCTCCAACGTCGGATCATTGAATTGTTTGCAGTGTGTCAGCCTTTAGTGATGTTCAAGGTGCCACTCCCTAAACCCGCACCCGGGGTGTCTTTGCAGTACGACACAGTCAGCTAAGCTGGTAGGGAAAGTTCTACGCTCTACAGCGCCTTGCAGAAGCTTCCAGGAGACCCTACAGCCCTACAGTGCCCTACAACTTCGAGGCCATTGCACCTTCCAGGAGCCAGCGTCGGCGGCCGCAGCGATCCAGTCGTTGCGGGACCGCGATGTGGCGATCTCGGCATCCGGGGGTTGTGCCGAGGTCCCAGGGTCCGTTAGGCTGCAGAATACTCCCCTTGCGATTCCTGAGGTCGGGGGGCGGCCGATTTGGGTCGCCGAAGACAATCCCAAGGACAAGGGTTCCAACGACCAGTTTCAAGCAGATAAACTCCACAGATCAAAGCCACTGGGTGCCGTGAATTCCGAGCTTCGGTCGTGTTTTAGGGCACCGCAGAGCACCCTGAGCCTGGTTACGTATTCGTCATCGTTGTTTTAATGTTTCTGTTCGTAATGTTCGGGTTGACACTGTTAAAGCATCTAACATTCATCGAACAAAGCAACACACAGTTGCGTCGGACTTTGTAGGTGGCCGAGGGACTTCACCCGTTGTTGGTGGCAAGCACATGCAGTATCTAGAATTCGTAGCTATATACTTCTCTGTGCTTGAAACAGACGGCGCTGCAAATCTCCCCGGGACAGAAGAAAAAGGCCAGATTATAACGCCCGATCTCTTTGTGGCAATATAGGAGAAAATGGTCAGCAATCCTGTGGCCACATATGCAGCTCGGCTAACGGCGGCTCAAGATTCGGGCAGTGTTCGTCGTCAGGGCTCGGCCATAAGTGATCATCGCACCTCAACCGTAGTTTCTCCCGAAACCGCGTCTGACTTGTCGAGCACGAGTGACGCAAAAAGTGATCATCGTAGCCGCAGGTTCATCACGAGCAGCAGATAAGTTCGCAGATCATGAGTATGACGTGTGTCGTCTACATGGAAGGGCTAACATCGGTCTCTGTTGTTTTATGACCGCCGTTTCTTAATCACGGCCTTGCCTAGTGAGGCAACTGCTGCAAGTGCTGTCGTGGGAAAGTAATTGCAAATCACGAGGGGAGGAAGTTTAGACCTTTGCCGCTTGCCGCTCGGAAAACTTGATTGTGCTGCCAAAGGATAGGAGGTTCAAGGCAAAAGCCGTACAATCAGAGCAGGTCGTGATATTGGCTCGTTAATATGTACTTGTTGCCGCTACATTCTGGCCCTACGCAGCTTGCCGGATCCAGAAGACAATTATTTTGGCAATCAGTTCTATCGGATTTAGCATGGGACACACGACAATCACTTAGTGGCCTTTGCCAGGATTCAGGAAGTGTGCAACACACAGTTGTCGTCCGCAGCGTTGCTTCGAATCGTTGCCGAGCCCGTGCTTGCATCAGCTGCACATCCCGCAAGTGCAGCCTTTGTAAGGCCTGCAAGTATCTCTAGACCCCGCACTGCTTCGGCGCTCTAGAGTCTATTGACGCGAGCGGACCTTGAGAAGCTGGATTCGATCGCCTGTTTCCTACATGTGTTCACTTATCCAAGGTGCCGATGATGGCACCACCGCAGATGCATTCAGCACCTGTGCATGGCAGGGGCGCAGGCCGCTTCTGAAGCAGTCAAGCCCCCTCACCCCAGGTTCTGCCCCAGATGCTTTGGCTGTTTCACGGTGGGGCAGTGCCCTCAGCCAGTGACATACATCCGACCGTTGGGAAAATGTGTCCAGCCACAGTCATAACGGAGGTGATCTCGTGGACAAAGCAAGCACGGTTCTCAGCAGCTGAGGTCACTTCTGAGAACGGCACATATCAGAGTAATTGTATTTGTGGGGCATAATGCCACGGAAATCAGCCTACAAGGAGTTGTCGGTGCAGGGAAGCGTGGTCCAATAAACCTGCATTGTCGGTGCCGTCGTGTTTGGAAAGGCCGGATGTCATAATATCTCGTATATAATACATGTAGATATATATATATATATATATGTGCGTCTGGTGCACGCTCATACTACCACAGCACCCGCTATAGTCACCCTCCACAGATAGCTTCAACACTGTGTCTCAGCTCTACGTATATCTCCGACTTCTGCTTCTGCTCTCAGAGACCACGCCCCTGCGAAGACTGGGTCAGAACGCCACAGCCAACACTCGCGCGAAATCGCGCGAAGACCAGTGCCAGTATCAATACTGTTTACTAAACGACGTCTGCCGACACAGCAGTTTTGTCTTGGCTCCTGCAAGATACTCGCATAACCAATGAAGGAATCCATCCCTCATTCTGCAAACAAACATGCAGGCCTCTGCTTGGCTGCCCAACAGAGCAGCCGACCCAGCAACCAGTCAAGCAGCCAACAACCAAGCGATGAGCCAAACAAGCGACCACACAAATCTGCGAGCCACGCAGCCAAGCGAACAACCCAGCAACCTGCAAATTTGCCTGCAAATTGAAGCCGCATTTTCTCCAAGATCGGGTCTTCTTCAGCAACGTCCCTTATGACGTGAGCGAGGAGCAGCTCGTGGCATTGATGGAGCCTCAGACACTTTGTCATTTTTTCCCCGAGTTCTTGCTCGTCACGTCTTGATCTGAGCTTCGTACCATATGCAGTCATAAGACGACCGATCTTAGAGAGAACTTTCTAGTTTCCGGGTGGGCAGAGGTTCCGGCTAACTGTAGCACACTGTAGCATCGCACGGAGATTCATTAGAATTGTCGTCATCATGCGCGTTATTCTCTGCTGCCGGTGCGATGGTTATGGTTATTTGCATGGACTACGTGCATTATCCTGATGGTGTATTTGCCTGCCTCAGTCTTAGCAAAGATAAAGGCGGAGGTGCTGGCCGTCAAAGCATCGTAGAGCCACACCTCACAGGTTTGAGAACATCGGCTCTGTCGTCGAGTTGAAGCTCTTCCGAACGGAGCAGGGGCGCTCTAGAGGGATGGGTCGGAGGCTCAGGCGTGTTCGTCTTTGACTTTCGAAGGAGTATCCCATCTACTGGTTTGTCCGCACCAAGCTGCCATCCTTCGCCAATCTTTTCGCAGCTCTTGTGGTGAGGTTACGGTAACCTTTGTCATTGTTGCGATGTTGATTTGAAAATTGATGTTGGTTGCCGATCTGTCAACTAATTCTGCTCTGGCTTTGTGCGAGAAGCGCGACAGGCGGCCACACGGCAGCAGAGGTTCTCGGTTTATAGGCTGAGGTTCATGATGCTGATGCTGATGCTGCTGTTGCTGTTGCTGCTGTTGCTTTTGTTATTGCTGTTGCTGTTGTTCTCCTGTTATTTTATTGTTGTTCTTGGTATTGTTCTCATTATTATTATTGTTGTTGTTGGTGTTGCTGTTGTTTCTTGTTCTTGTTCTTGATGTTGTTGTTGACGAGGACTTCTTGATGATGCTGAAGGTATTGGTGCATTGGCACGGTGCGTGATTTGAAAGACGACCTGTAGAGCAAAAAGGCTTCATTGTGAATACCTCAATCTGCTCTGAGGTCACTGCACCTTCCTGCTGCACGATGCGGCCGTGCGGGCCGTTTTCGAACTGAGGGATGTGGACGCCGGGGTCCACAGCCGAACAGCTCTCGACAGCTTTCAGTTGCCTTACATCACGGACTGGCATGCCGACAATTCCCTTCTCCCCCTCAACGCTTCCTTTTCTCGCGCGCTCTCTACCTTCAGCCCAAGACCTGAAGAAATCCGCGAAGTTTCATACCTTCCCTGCCCTCCCTTTCCTTCTCCAACCCCGGAGCCTGCGAAGACTGGGTTCTTGTTAAGGGATGTAATTTGAGCTAGTTACCATTATAAGGAAACCATATTATTGACTATAGATCCCCAGTATGGTAATTTAAATTGAATCCCTTAACAAAAACCCCATACCATAGTACCCGTATAGATCCCTTATAGTAACCCTTGTAGATCCTTTCAAATCCCGTAGCAAGAACCCCATGCCCCCTATACCCTTATAGACCCTTCTAAATCCCTTAACAAGAACCCTATACTCCCCATGCCCTTATAGACCCTTTTAAATCCCTTAAGAAGAACCCTATACTATAGTAAGTCCCCTAAGAGATCCCTTATAGATCCCCCTTACTGATCCCTTAAGAAGTCCTGCACTACATGTAGTCCCCTTCTAGTCCCCTAATAGATCCCCTTTAATGATCCCTTAAGAAGTCCTAAACTATATATAGTCCCTTAATGCCTTAATGGATCCCTTACAGATCCCCCTTAATGACCCCTTAAGAAGTCCTATGCTATAGTTCTTAAATAGATCCCTTATAGATCCCCCTAAATGATCCCTTAAGAAGTCCTATACTATATAGTGTCCCTTATAGATCCCCCTTAATGATCCCTTAAGAAGAGCCCAGAAGAGCAGGTCGGTGGCCGACCCATTTGGGTTGCCGAAGACAGCCGGGGGCCCCCAAGGCGCTCCTTGGGAGCCCAGGAAGGGAATCTGCTTCTGGGGGGACCCCTTTTAAAGGGTTCCTTTTAAGGGGGGTATCATAAGGATTACTATAATGGGTATCATAAGGATTACTATAAAGGGAAGGATGACTATAAGGGGTGTCATAAGGATTACTATGAGGGGTATTATAAAGATGTAGTATAACGGCCCTACATCATTACCTGTCCTACTTTTTTGTGGTTTTTGTTCAAGGGCTCTATGAGGGATCGATGGTAGGTTTTGTCGTATAGGGGCCTTCTGTAATAATTACCTGCGCTGTTCGGAGGCTTCTTATTTTAGTGGTAGTACACTGGGCCCCTGTAGTAGGGACCTGAGTCGGGAGAGAGGAATCCATCGATGCCTTGGTGAAGCGATGGCTCTACCGAGCCAGTATTATTCCATTATACTTCTAATAACCAGTAGCCCTTTGTATATTTTGCTATCCTAGGTCTTCCACTCTTAGCTCCCGAGATGTCCGGGAGGCCCGGAGCTGCCTCGAGCCCGACACCTCAGGTGCCTCCCGGGGTGGCGGCTTTTCGTGGCCGAAGTCCCCTGGGATTTCAGTGTTTCTGGGCTTTGCGGGAATTCTTATAATAATACATTGGGCCTGCCTCAGGATTTGTGACGCTCTAGACTCTATCAGACAACTCAAGGCACAGCGGCACCAAGACTTGCCATCAGAAATCGGAGGCACTGCGAGGGCTGCTTCTCAACAGAGCCAATAGATCAACACAGAACACTACTGCACCTGTCGGGTTGCGGCACGGAACCTATCAACCTCCGAACCCGAAAACCCTGAACTGACTGGTGCTGAAGACTTTTTGGTCCAAAAGCGGAGGCCGCTGGCTTATCATAAACCCCGCAAGTCTTCGCACACCTTGTGAAGCCCTACAACTCTTCGGCTATGTCGCTTAGGGCACCCGCTTTTTTCGAGCTCCGAAGGCCGGCAAGCCAAAGCCCTCGTCTGCGGGATTTTGTCGCAGGAAGCACTGGCTAAGTTGCTGCCGGCTGCGCTTGGCGCAGCTCGCATGAATGGTTCTAGCCAGAAGAAAGGGGGAGGTACTTCGTTCCCATTGACATTGACTGGGTTTGCTTTTTGTGTGTTGGTGTCGGGATGTATAGCTTCCAGGCGTTTAGAGCTCCCCAGTCTGTAGCGAGGCATGCAGATCGTGTGTTCGATCTGTGCCAGTTGCGATGCACATGGCCCAACTACGTAGTCGAACAGACCTTCTCCATCATGTGTTTGCCTGATGGGCTAATGTCCGTCATCGCAAGAAGGTCGCGCATATGTTCCCTCCGCCAATGCTCCCAGTCGTTTCGCAGCGTCGCGGACCAGGTGGGGGTGCGTTGCAGGTTTGGGGTGTAGGGTCCGCCTAGTGCAGGGGCTGAAGCATGAAAGTATGCCGGAGCAACGAGACATTTTAGTGGCCATCATCAAAACAGTACATATAAGCACGACAGAGGTGTTCGGTTGCATACGTTTAATTTTATACATGTATATATATATATATATATATATATATATGCGTACATAGGTGCATGTTAGTCTGTGGAGTGGCGTAAAACACATAGAGTACCTACCATGTTTACATATGATGGCATAGAGCATGGGTTCAAAAATATAGATATGCACACTCACACACATATATATATATATATATGCACATGCATACACACATGTACTTATACCGAAACCTACACGTATACCTGGGCCATACCTGCACCTGCACATATACATATACACATACATACATACATAGACAAATGTATGGCACATCCGTACATATATACACGCACACATGCAGTCATCCACACTTGCATGCATACGCATGTGCACATGCAGATGCAGATATGTATGTTTACATGCTGTCGAGTACGAGTGCCGAAAATGGGTATGCATACACGAACATTCACACAGATTGGTTTGTCTCGATTCATGACCATTTGCATTCGGTTATACATATACATATACACATACACAAACATTGTTACACTTATATAGGCTTATGTATGTATTCACTCACAATGTTTTCTGACTGGTTTGTTTATACCTGTGTACGATGCTACAACGCACCTGCTCCAGGAAACACCAGCAAGGATGCTGCAGACCCCGCAAGTCTCCGCCTGAGGAGGGAGCTCTCCAGAACAGTAGGCAGCTATGGGAGGTCCGGCTTCGGGTATTTTGGCTTCAGCGTGTTTTAAGATGCTGGGCGTCGCCGAGACAGAAGATGCTATGGCTGAAGGCCTCTAGATCTTGAGGTGAGGCTTGTGCTTTGCAGCGTCGAAATTATGCGCAGAGCTTTGGAAGCCCTGAGGCTACACGGTCGGACCAGCCCCAAATCGCGACCCAACCTGCGAACCAGTGGCTTATAATTGTAGAGCAATCCCAGGCACTCAGGCTGTCGGATCCTTCGAATGTATGTGTTGGAGCCTCATTTCTAATAATGTACTACTTGCGAATCTGCATTTTTGTGTAGGTGTATATGTATATACGACTGCATGCGTATATGCATATGTATATATATATATATATATATATGTATATGTATATGTACTAGTGGGAGCACTTCACTACAGCAGCGTTTGAACATTTTTGAGTTTCTCCTTTTTCTCTATTGTAAGGATTGAAACTGTCAGTACAACAGTTATAACACACTTTTGAAAATCGCGACTTTTCGTGTTGACTGGAATAATTGTGAAGCATGGATGTCTCCCTCTCTCTCTATAGTTGGACAGGCAGACAGCTAGCTAGACGTATGTATGTACATCTGTTTGTACATATATATATATATATGTATACATTCATGCTACCCCTCCGAGAGCCACCGGTGGTTGTTGTATAATCGTGCGAAGAAGGGCACGATTATGTCGGCAGTTACTATCTACCGTGTACTGATTTCTGGAAGCATAGAGTCGTATGAACGAGGCCGGAGTGGATCTTGGGAGAAGGGAGGGGGTGACCATCCATAGATCTGTATATATATATATATATATATATATATACAGACTCGATGTGAGGCCTTTGCTCAGTCCCACAACCACATACCTACACTATTTCTCACATATCATAAAAGTACATGTACACTGATCGCCTCCCAGATCGGGTCTTCTTCAGCAATGTGCCTTACGAGATCAGCGAGGAGCAGCTTATCGAGCTGCACGGGCCTTGGCATCTTGGGGTTTCAGCTCTTGTAGGGGCCTGCATCGTGTCCAATACTATATATATATATATATATTTATTTATTTATATTTATTTATGTATATATGTATATATATAGATACATTTTTTTTTGGTGGGGCGCGGGGCTTATTACAACTATAGCATAACGTGCACGAAAACCCTATACGAATGATTAAGGCCCCTATATTGGTGTGGTTTATGTTTTTGGAAGGCGATGTTTCCGAGGGTTCTAGGGCGTGCACTGTGGGTGCTCGGCTTCTGGAAGTTTGGGGGCGACGCTGTTAGACCGTTAGAACTCAAATCCCCCAAACCCAGAACGGTCCAGGTTTCAGCAAGTCGGCACTGTACTGGAGCTCAACCTGTTTCGCAATGAGATGGGTCGATCGAGAGGTATGGGCCACGACCTCAGCTTCCAGCATGACCATCCGCTTAATTAATCATGATGGATCGACAGGATCAACATTCCCAATTTCTCATCAGAGATCACATCTCTCGGTGCTGCGGTGCCATGTTACACTTTAAACATTCACTCCTGCAGGTGTTCTCCATCTCCGCAGTACAGTGGCGGTGCCACGTTGCACCATGGACACTCTCAACACTTTGACATGTTCTTCACATCTCGGCAGTGCAGATCCGGTTTCATTAACGGTTTTGGCCAGTGTGTTCCTACGCACAGGGCTCAAGTTCGGACAGCAGACAGTCTGAGCAGCTCGTGTGCTTGCTGCGCATGCCGCGTGCGGATGGAAGCGTAACCCCGCGATGGTTGGGGACGATACCAAGTCTCGGCAGCCTCCTTGGGATCGTGGAGCAGGAGGAGATCACCGAGAGTGCGGAGAAGGATGCGCAGGCTGCGCGATTTGCTGTGGGTGAATTCGTCGAGTACCACAGTGCATCTGCAGGATCTTGGATCCCTGCTAAGATTGTGGTGGTTCGCGATGACGGCTTGTATGATCTGGACTGCAAGCAGGAGGTGCCACCGACAAAAGTTCGGCCGGCGACTTTCGCAAAGCCTGATTTCGAGGTTGGTGCAAGCGTTGAGTACCTGAGCGACACCCAGGGTGTATGGATACCTGCTAGGGTGAAGATGTATAATGCCATGGCCGGTACCTACGACCTCGATTGCAAGCAACATGTGCCTCCACGTAGGATCCGGCTCCCAGCCGTCAGCACCCGCCCACCCAGCCCGGAGGAGCAGCAGGAGGAAGTAAGCGATTCGAAAGACGGCATTGGAATGGGCAACGGAGAAACGGAAGAGGAGCTTGGGGCCCGGGTATCCCACACCAGCACATGTCCCGTCGAGCACTTACTACCTCAGCAGGATGGACCCATCCAGCTTATCAAAGTCTCCCGTCATGGGACTTCTTGGCACTTTGAGTTGTGCCCCGAAGCGGTGAAGGTGCTCGAGGCCTGTGGCCAGGAGCAGCTCGCTGTATGTACAGTCTGCGGTCCTTACCGTACAGGAAAAAGCTATCTGCTGAACCTTCTCCTCGGACGCGGTCGACAGGGCAATAGCCAGTTCCGTGTCGGCTCCACGACACGAGCCTGTACAGACGGCTTGTGGATGTGGGGTTTCGGGCGCGTGCGAGGGGGCGATTCTCCAAGCCTTCTGTTCTTAGATTGCGAAGGCTTCGGAAGCACAGAATCCGACAAGACACGAGATGCAAAACTCATGTCTCTTTGCATGCAATTATCTTCTGTATTCTTGCTCAACACCAAGGGTGTCCTGAGCGAGAGTCTATTTGGTGCGCTGTCCCTCGTGTGCAACATGGCGGAGCATTTCGAGGAACAAGAAACGAGCAAGCCAGCGCTCCTGTGGGTGTTGCGCGACTTCCTCCTCGAGCTGATGGATGACGGCGGCAAGCGGCTGACACCGGATGAGTACTTGGAGTCGACCCTGCACAAGAAGCCACCCGAGGGGGTGGACCCCCAGCGATCACAAGCTGCCCGGGAGGTGCGCGAGAATCTCCTGAAATTCTTTCCGCATCGTCAGTGTGCTACACTTTGTCAGCCAGCCATCGACGAGCAGCAGCTACGGGAGCTGCCAGAGGTACCCTTTGAAAAGCTGCGAAAGGAGTTTAGAAATGCCTTCCAAGAGCTTCAGACACGACTGTTTCGCTTGGCAGACTCTCCTAAGACTATTGGAGGCCAACCTCTTTGCGTGTCACAGTGGACGGAGGTGCTACGCAAGCTGGTGCGGTGCTTGAATGAAGGCCAGGCCATGCGAGTTGACGATTCCTGGACGCAGGTGGAGCACAGTAGCTGTGGTGATCTAGTGACTGAGTTGCGCGAACGAGCTTCTAGCGAGCTTCAGAAGGTACGGAAGGGCGGTCCTTTCCCCATTCCCGGGGGTCGGCCCTTGCCCGTCTCAGACACAGTGCTGGTGTCTAGCCTCAAGGAATGCCGAAAGGCCATCCGCGAGGAGTTCCGTAGCCGTGCGGTGGGTGGGGAGCTGGTCAAAGCTTCCTACTGGAAGGAGCTGAAAGCTGCGCTCCAAGAGGACGAGCAATCTCTTCGGCATCTCAACGCCGAGTTGGCAGAGGCATCCTTGCGCCAAGCAGGAGCGGACTGGTCCGCTTGGCTTTCCCAAGACGAGGCCTCGGCAGCAGATCCCCAGCCAGAATCTTTGCTGAAGGCCTTCGGTTCGGACCTTCCGGCACAGCCCGTGGCGCGTGCTGCCTGGGATGCAGTCAGTTCTGCCCGCATGGCAAGATTGAAAGCGGACGGTATGCTCGAAGCTTCCAAGGCACAACTCAAGCTTGTCACAGAAGAGTTGGAAAGCAAGGCAATGCTGGCCGCTGCTGCATCGAAGCAGGCAATGCTCGCCGCTGAAAAATCGAAGCTAGCCGAAGGAGAACAGCTGGAAAAGAATCGCGCCATGGGCCAACTGCAAAGCCAGGTGGAGGCTCTTCAACAACAGGTCCGAGACTTCATCGAGCGTGAAAGAACTCTCAAAGGGGACTTCATCGAGCGTGAGAGAGCTCTCAAGGAGCAGGTTCTACAGGCAGAGCAGTCCCTGCGGAAAGAGCAGCATGAGAGGAGTGAGGTCGGCCGTGAATCAGAGCAACGAATTCAAGAGCTGCAGTCACAAGTAGCTGAACTTCGATCTGAAGTTCTACAGTTGCAGGAGTGGAGGCATGAGACTTCCGCATCTCCGAGGGATACTACCCGGCCGAAATGCACCTGTAGCATCATGTAAGTTTGCTTGACAGAGCTTGGCCGCGATGAGAAAAACTGGCGCCGCAAGCTCCTGGAGAACTGTCGCCTTAAAGGCATCGTTCGCCTTTTGCTTTCAGATGCGGGCATGTTTCCATCATACAGGAAGTCCTTGCGATGTCGGCTCAAGTTTGTTTATCGGTCACATCACCAACTCCGCAGAGTGGAAGCTCATTTCGATGGCGTTCACGCCTATGCCAGGAATCAACGAGGATTCCGCGACAACGCTGCCTCCAGTGCCTCCGAGCAAGCCGAGGCACCTTTCTCCAAGAAGCCTGATGGCTCTTCGTAGCCGGCGGTTCGCACCAAGTCCAACAGAATCCCAACAGAATGCTGGGCCGGGCGTCGATGAGACATGCAACTCGCAGGAGAAAGGCACGCAGATTTGTCCCGGCCAGCACAAGGCCACGGTGAGAGAGAGATTGCACGGCTTCGCCTTGTGTTGGGGTCGGCAGGAAGAGCGAGAGGTGAAGCTGCGAGAGATGCTTCCGCAATTGCACGACATCTTCGAGGATTGCGAGCGAAATGCTGTGGACGAAGCCAAGGAGGAGGAGCATGAGTCCGAGTACTCCAGACCGGTGAGGCAGTATCAGGTCAAGGAGGCTGGCACCGATAGGTTTGCTCACCTCCACGTGGAAGATGTCATGGCCGCGAAGAATGATGTGGTGATTTCGGACATGGCATGATTCGGGAAGAATTTGGAAGAGGTTTCTGCACCCGGGGTGGCGCATTTCGAGTTCCGAGAACCGAGACGTGTGCTTCCAAAGTTCCTCCGTATTTGTTTCGTAGTGCTCCCTGCTTGACAGCCAGAGCACACAACCGGGCGACAGCCAAGCTTGGAGGTATAGTTTAGGTAGTTTGAAGATGCGTACCGAAGACGCCGCGAGATATGATCCGGTACTGTTCTTAGCTGCTTGGCGGCTGTAGTAGGTGCTATGGCTCCAGGTGGGCATTACACAGCCTGAAAGCGAGCGAGGTCCTTTGAAGAGCCTACCAGTTTCCGCTTCGTGGCACTTCACGGCCGGTCTCCCGTTGACTTTGCGACACGTGGCAAGCCTCACATAGCGTCACTAATATATGATGCATGACGAAGGTCTAAGCTTCAGTTCCACCCGGGGATAAGGTGTCCCGGTTACGGTGTCCTATACTCGTATAGTATATACGGCATGAGCAAGCAAAGCGTTGAAGCAACGTTGCCGACGTGCAAGTCAACGACGATGTCCACAGGTTTTCTGAAGGCTGCTGCGCGAGAAAGCAGTTACTCTGCTGGCTATTTCTATAGTAATCTGAACTCCAAAGCTGCATGACTGGGTCGGGTTGGTCGGCTGCCGCTGCAAGCTGCGACCCGTACAGTGCATGTCAGCTCAACGAATACATTTTGAGCGTTGCAGGTTCCGAAGCGAGCATTGCTTGCAGATGCGGCACCCTTGCTGTGCAACTTCGAGACACAGTCTGCGCTTCGTGGCGCAGTCCTGTGTTTCTGGTGGTTTCAAACCGGAGCAAACATCATCGATAAAGTATCCCCCGCACATGACGTGGCTCACCACGAAGCGGTCGAAGAGGAGCCTCGCCTGCTTTCGTCTGCGACAAGAGGCAGAGGCCGAGTTTTCCCCACTTGTAGGGTAGATGACGGTTTTGCTGAACTGGAACCTGGGACTCGTGGTCCCAGTCTATCCGACCCAGTCGGCCACAGTGTGCCTATGACATGCAGGTCGAGCGGGGTGCGGAAAAATCTCTCTGACTCTGGGTTGGGACCTTGTTCTGGAGAATATATATACTGATTGCAATGACACGGCTTGCGGCGTCGTCTGCGGCAGTCTCTGTCTCCGTTTGGAGTCACGCCCAGCGGCGAGTGTCTGAATCCTTACAACAGCCCCCTTTATGCTGCTAGTTCGAGCCCTTGGACACGCAGCGACAGCCTCATTCTCAAGTCTGGAGGCCACTGCGTCTTTGCGCACCCCGGGTCTGCCGAGCGGGCCATCGGCGAGCTGCGCGACGTAAACGCCGGGGCCCCAGGCTTTGGGAGGCTTCAATACATTCCCTACGACGTGAGCGTGCTCATGTCAGGGCAGGCGGATCTCAGAGTGGACCACAGTATTTGTCAATACGATCCTAAGTCTGATGCATGAGGGAGCGAATGCACGGAGCAGATACATACTCGAAGACGAAGGCTGCGACGAGCCCTCGCAAATTTTCTTCCATGAAAGGCTCAAGCTCCGCACCAAGTTGCGATAGTCCTCACAGTCGTAAAGCTAGCAGTAGCACGACTACCATTGGTCAGAGACACCAAGACAAGCAAAACGATGGTCGTGGTGATGACGGTGGTGATGGTGACGGGACTAGAACGGAACAGGTCCAGTGCAACCTAAAGCAGCAGTATCAGGATCGGAGTTCTTTGCCAAGTAGCATCGGGTCAGTCGGTCCAGCAAGTACTGCCGATACTGCCTTCATTGCTCCTCAATCCGGTAGCAGCATGGAAAGCAATCCCCTCAACGACCTTATACCCGTATTCGCCCCAACCCCGAAGCCCTCAACCTTTCAACCGATTTGTATTCAAGCCTTTCATCAAGAAGCCTAAACCCAATCTCCTGCTCAGATGGTTGGGCAGACATGCAATAGGAGCCTCCCAAAGAAAACGCCCTATAGAGAGCTGACTCCGACCTCCGAAGGTCGGCGGCCGGCCCATTTGGGTGGCGGAAGACAGCCGGCCAGCGAGGTCTCGGGCCCGGCCCTGGGAAGATTGAAGGGAACATCGATCCCCAGAAAGCCTAGACACGAGCATAGACAACCAGCTACTGTCATACAGACGCAATGATACAATCATACGTGCATGCATCTGTGTACATAAAAGCATATATATATATATATATATATATGCTACCCCCCCCCCTCAAAGATCTATGTTTTTTGCTCTTTACTGTGCTTTTACGGCTTATAAACAGTAAACCGAGGTTGACCTGAAACAACAAGCCCTTGAACCTAGCACCCTGACTTGACACACCCAAAGAACCTTGTAAACCTCCACGCGACAAATAGACGCCTGAAACGTTCGCCAGAAAGCCTCCCCGAAACAAAATAAGCAACAGTTAGCCCGAACCTATTCTAAAACTGTCAGCCTGTCAGCCCGAAAGCTTCTAAAACAGTTAGCCCGAACGCCTCCTTGAAACCTAATCTGAAACAGGTAGCCCCAAAGCCATCTTGAAACCTACACCGCCAAATCACTAGCCTTTAACAGCATCCGTGGGGGCTGTCTGTGCAGCAACTTGGGCTGCGCGGTTTATGATTGAAGCAAACGATGCTCATGATGCTTTATAGGGGGAACAGCCAACTTACAACCTGACGTCCTGCAGCGGAATCCTTGCATTACATTCACACAGACCACAATGTGATGTTTATGAAAAGTTGAAAGAAAACAACTGAAGCGTTAGATAAAAAGGGTGTTTAATTTAGTTAAACTGTACACACCACATGAACGGAAAAATCCATTGACAAGTTACTGCATTAAAGGACAGGGAAAAAGGAGTAACATGACCGTTTGCAATTAGTTAAAGGTAAGGGATACACGCTTTTATTCTGCTAAAGTTTGTCTTGTTTTGCTTGTTTCCGTTACCTTTAATTCCTAGTTGTCTACCTTTCCGAATGCAAGGTTTATAAGCCAAAGAAACTAAAAAGGTAAGAAACAAAAGGAACCAACAGACAAATGAAGTGAATGAAATGAGAGATTTGCAGGCTTCTGTGTTCTCTGTTTTTGTTCTTTTCCCTTCGAACTCGTTCCTGTACGCTTTCATTCAATTGGATTCATTCCGTTCACTTTGTTCGCTCCATTCATTACACTGCATTCAGCGACGTGAAGGACGAACGAAGCCCCAAAAACACAATTTAATGCAGTGAAAGGAACAAAACAGCAAAGACATGTGCGTCGTTTTATGCTTCATTTCACTACGTTTAGTTGCGTCGTGTGGCTTAGTTACTTTTTCGTTCGCTTTTTTAGGTGTCTTCAGGTGCTTTATTAAATTCCAATACGGAATACCCAATAACACAAACGGAAGAAGAACAAACCAAGACATAAAGTGAGTAGTTTGAATGCATTTTACTTAGTAGAAGGAACAGAAGCGAAGTGAAATCAATGCCTGCTTTGATGGAGAACTGAATGTTGATTCCATTCCCTTTTGTCTGTCGTTCTTTTATTACGCAGAAACCGAAGCAAGAAGAACGACAACAACAAGAGCACACAGGCAAAGGATACAACATCAGAAGGCAGCGGCGGGTGGGTGTAAGGCGCATGCTTAGGTTGTTGCTTCGTTTGGCTCAATCCAAGTACGCATGCTTTATCTTTACTTGCATAAACGTGCCAAAGAACAACGACCCACCGCACATTACATTCACTTCATTCTTAATCTCACTGTCACCTCTCCTGTCTTCATGTCACACACTAGAATGAGAAGGTAATAGTGTGAAGCGAACCAAGAGACGCCGTGAATTAATTTCAATGGAACGCTGTGGAAGCGTGAATTAAGTGAAACAAAGCTTCCGTTCGTTCTTCGTTCTGTGCTGCGTGTTTAAAATCAACAACAAGGCTCGCTTTGTCATTGTCGTTGTTGCAGTCAACTACATACAAGAACCAGAACTAACTTCACAGACCTCTGCCACTCGTTTCTCAGCGGCTAGCGTGGCAAAAAATTCAACTCAATGAAAAGAAACGTAAACAAAGTGCACGGTATCTTCTTCCATAGATTTGGCCTTTTGTGCACGATTTTCCGGTTTCAATTTGATTACTTTGAAGCAAAAAGGCATATGCACATGTAGACTGCCGCAGACGTGCACATGCAGACTGTCACAAGAGCCGTGGAGATAACAAAACCAAGAAAGGCAGAGGACCACATTGAAGTATTGAAACACGTTGAATTTCAAGATTGCGCGGGTCTGCTGGGAGGAATCTTAGTTCAGGGACGGCCATATTGAAATATTGAGGCCATATTGAATTTCAATATGGCGGATCCAAGATCCAAGATTGCACGGGACTCCTGGGAGGAATCTTGGATTCAGGGACGGCCATATTGAAATATTGAAGCCATATTGAATTTCAATATAGCGGATCCAAGATCCGATCCAAGATTCCTCCCCAAGAGCCCTGGGGAATCTTGGATCTTGGATCTTGGATCCGCCATATTGAAACTCAATGTGGCAGGGGGCCATATTGAAATATTGGGCCACATTGGGTTTCAATATGGTCGGTCTTTGCGGTCATGAGGAGTTGATCTGAGATACGCGAGTGGAGGGAAGGGGGGTGCGAGCAATCATGAGGAGTCGATCGTGAGTGGAAGGACGGTCATGAGGAGATGGTAATGAGTGGAAAGAACTGAAAACAGCTTAAATACATAGATCTTTGGGGGGGGGGGGGGGGGGGGTACCATATATATATACTTATATTTTTTTATATTTATATTTATATTTATACTTGTATTTGTATTTATATTTATATTTGTATGTATGTATGTATGTATGTATGTGCATTTTAGACTATCATAGTTGTATATGTATATAGGCATCTGTTCATGTATACGAACACTCAACGCATATACACACACACACGCGCACATATGTGTATATATATATATATGTATGTGTGTGTATATACCCAGCATATGCATGCACTATGGAGTGGCATTTGTATACACATATACACATGCAATCACGTATTGTAAAGGTATGCGAATGTACGTCCAGGTTGGTATATATATATAAATATATATATATATATATATATATATATATATATTTATATTTATTTATTTACTTATTTATATTTATATTTACATATGTATATATATACAGATACATATGCATATCGTTCTATATATATATATACACACATAACTTGTGGGTACACAGATAAAAGTGTAGGGGTATTGAACATACTGGTGCCCGGTAGAGAGAGCTGATTGTGCTTGCCACGGACACTTCTGAAGCAGTAAGAGGTGAAATCGCAGCCCACGGGTTGTTCCACGATTGAGACGAAATGCTCTAACTGCCGTAGTAGTAGAAGAAGAAGTAGTGCCTGTAGTCACCGTCGCCGTAGTAGTAGTAGTAGTAGCAGCAGGAGAGTAGTAGTAGTCGTCGTAGTGGTAGTGGTAGTGGTAGTAGTAGTAGCAGTAGTAGTAGTGGTGCTAGCAGTAGTAGTGGTAGCAGTAGTAGTACTAGCAGTAGTGGTAGTAGTAGTCCTCGTAGTAGCAGCGGCAGCAGCAGCATTTCTAGTGGTATCAGTAGTAGAGGTAATTTCAGTCGCGGTATCAGCAGTTACTGGCAGCAGAACAGCAGCAGTAGTTATTCAGTGATTAGAAGTAGGCGATGTGGCGGTGCATGTGGTATTGATGGTTCCATTGGTGGTGCCGTGTGAATGTATTTGTGTTTAGTTTTGGATTTTGTCAAGTCGCCGCGCAGCTTGCCCAGCAGAGCAAGCATTGTGTTGTAGTAGTGCGCGCTCACTTGATCATGTTGCGTTTGGCAACGCTTTCACAACCCTCGCACAGGCATGGACGTGATCTTACAGTCTTTCGGTAGGCTTGCACAAGTAATCAGCGTCTACATCCGCACAAGCTATGGCCTTCGTGCTGAGCTCGCAGTCAACTGACCCTGCAGAATCCGTGGAAACTCCCATTGAGGACCTTCCACTGCCAGAAGGTTTCACGCCATTGGTGGGAATAAAGTTTTGCCCGCCAGGTGGCATATACTTGCTGCTTTTCTTGTGGTTCCTGGACAACGCCACAGACCTGTTCCAGGTTGTAACGTTCGTACGCCACGGGGACAGCGGATTTGCGATTTTTGTCGCATTTTTTGTGACCGCCAGCATTCTCCTTGTTGCCTTGGTCCTCGTGCTGACGGAAAGCGATGCCATAACCAACAGAGGCGGGCCGATCGCTTGCAAGGTTTTGCTTTCGCCTTTTCAAGCCGCTATGGACAGCGTAGAGCGTGGTAAGGCTAGCATGACGTGGGGATGGATCATGCGGGCGGAGCAGCAAATTGAGGCGCCAGGCACCGGCCTGGTGGCTCCATATGGCATGGTTTTGGTTAGCCAGCTGACTCTGTTTCAAGCACTGGCGGCTTGTTACGGACTGTACAGCTCTTCCAAAGCCATCGCGGCTGGTCGCATGGAGAATTGGTCGGGATCCAATCCGGTAGAGTTCCATGCTGTGCGCCCGGAGCTCTTTGCTGCTATCCAGCTGTGGCTGTTGCTGGCAAGCTTTGGAGAGCTGGCCCTGTTTGCTGTTGTCGGCCGCGTACTGCATCCTTCCGTCCCTATAGGTTTGTATCTCATTGCTGCCGGTATCAACATACACACCGAGGAAGCTAAGAAATCAGAGGTGTGCTGCCAGAGTGTGCCTGCAACTTCATACATTTAGCTTTTTATGGTTTCTATACCATTATGAATCTCTTTAACGGTAACTGTTTTTGTGCAGAAGTCAAGCGGGCTTCAGGTGTTTATGGTGGCCGACAGCATGTTCGGAGTGCATGCAAACCCGACGGGCCTGAAAGAAGTGAACAAGGACGCGAGGACTGGCCCAGGACGGTTCACTTTCTCTTGCTATTCGCTACTGACGAGATAGATTCAGATAGCTGCTACTTGGAAATAACATGTGGCTCGTAGTAGTAGTAGTAGTAGTAGTAGTAGTAGTAGTAGTAGCTTAGTAGTAGTAGTAGTAGTAGTAGTAGTAGTAGTAGTAGTAGTAGTAGTAATAGTAGTAGTAGCAGTAGTAATAGCTCTTGTTCGCGCAGATGGCCAGTCAACAAGCCGCTGCCAGATGATAGGGATGACAGAAATCGGTGACAATCATCAACCAACTCTTGGATCTTATTGGAATGTGCGAAACTCGGGCATTTTGGGGCTATCACTGTTTTGGTCCAGTCATGTTTGGTGTTTGGGAACCTAGTTGCTTCCGGGGGTGTGGTTTGGAAATGTTTGGGAAACAAAGCTGCAACAGATGTGTTTCGAGGTTGCAGCAAAGATAAGGAAAGAAAAGCAACAACGGCATTCGGGGATAATGGATGTTATGGGGTTTTACTGCTTTACTGCGATGCCGACGGAGATCTACTAAGGATCAGCTGCGGACTAGAAATTGCCAACAATGCTCTGCCTACTTCAGCAACCATCCAAGCTTAGTGCTGCACAAGTATTGATACTGCTGCTACTGGTGCTGCTTCTGCAGCTTCTGCAGCTGCTGCTGCTGCTCCTGCTACTACTACTACTGCTACTACTACTACTACTACTACTACTACTACTACTCCTGCTTCTACTCCTACTCCTACTACTACTACTACTACTTCTAATAATAATACTACTACTACTAATACTACTGCTGCTGCTACTACTACTACTGCTACTACTACTGCTTCTAGTACTGCTACTACCTATATCTACTAGCGACTAACTACTAACCGAACAAACTAACTGCAAGCTATTGTCTGCTAACTGCTGACTACTGAGAACTATCTGCTACTGTTACTGCTCGGCTACTACTCCTGGCCACAGCTACTGTTACTGCTGCTACTTCTACAACTGTTGATACTGCTACCGCTACTACCGCTGCTACTACTACTACTACTACGACTACTACGACTACTGCTACCACAACCACACCCACTGCTACTACTACTACTACTACTGCTACTGCTACTGCTACTGCTACTGCTACTGCTACCACTACTACTACTACTACTACTACTACTACTACTACTACTACTACTACTACTACTACTACTTCTACTACTACTACGACGACGACGACTACTACTACTACGACGACGACGACGACTACTACTACTACTACTGCTACTGCTAGTGCTACTGCTACTGCTACTGCTACTGCTACTGCTACTGCTACTGCTACTACTCCTACTACTGCTACTACTCCTGCTCCTGCTCCCGCTCCTGCTCCTGCTAGTGCTGCTGCTACTGCTGCTGCTGCTGCTGACACTACTAGTACTAGTGCGAGTCATAGTTCCGTTGTCACCTCAACCAGATCAATACCACCTCCACCGTCCCTACCGCTTCCATTGCTGCAGGATGGCCTGCGGCTTCATTCTTACTGGTGCGGTTGGTGGTCTTGGTGTGCCTTTGCTTACTTCTCGACTTGCCAAATGGGATATTGCCCATTGCCTCGTTGGCGCGTCCCATGGGCCAGCCAGTTCTTGAGGACGAATTCTTGTTGCCGCTGCGCGCCGCCTGCAACGTTGCTTGGAATTGCAATGCCGCAATCATTGCGCACCAATTTGAGAATTGCACTTTCGATGGTGTGGCCGAGAAGAGCGCTGGGTCAACCGCTTTCAACGCCTTTGTTGTAGCTGCTGCCGTGGTTTGTGTACCATTGCAATTCCTGATCACGCTTGGCCAGCTATGCTTCAATAGCCACTACCGATTGGGCACAAGCAATCAACAGCTGCACGACGAGGTGAAGCGCAAGAAAGCTGAGATTGAAGCCTGGAGTGAGAGGCATTTAGATGTTCTGTACCCTGAAAGAGTAAGGCGGCGCTTGATGCAACGTGATGCCTTATTACTCGACTTCGAGTAATGTAGCACGCCTTGATGCCGCTGCAAAGAGTATGACTCAGAACAGTCGCACTCAGCACCCAATTAAGCGGCGGCAGGTGCTAGCAGGTTATGACTTCCACTGTTTTGCCACGTCTCACATTGGCGGTTGCGCGCGTGTCTCCCTAGCTGAGCATGCGGGGCACACACTGTTGCGTTGATTGTCCCAAAAAATGTCGTGACCTAAAAGTGTCATGACGAGTTTCGAATGTCTGCCAAGGCGTTCTTAGCAGCGGCAGCCGGAGGAGTAGAAATAGTAGTAAGCAGTGGTAATCCTTTCCCCCAACATTAAAGGGACCCCGCCTCCCTAATTTAAAAACTGGATTTCGGCTCCCGGAGTTTTTATATTGGGGGGGGTTTCGGGGCATCCACGTATGAGTCGGATTGAGAGTACTCTGAGAGTAGTAATGAGCCAGACACAAATACCGCCCATCGCGCAGCCGTTTCGGCTGTAGAGCAGACAGTCCCGCCCTAAAGCCTAAAGCCCTAAACCCTATAAAAGCCCCGAAACCCTAAAGCCCTGGTCCTTTGGGTTTAGTACTGGTGTCGTCTTGGCTCTATTAAAACTAATACAATCCTAGGCCCCCCCTTAATGTTTGTAATTTGCTTGCAACTGTGGGCCCGACACCGCGAAATTCCGTGGGCCGGAAGTTTTTCTATTCGGGGGGGTTTAATGTTAGGGGGAAGCGATCAGTAGGCGTCGTCGTCGTCGTCGCAGCGGTAGCAGTAGCAGTAGCAATCGTCGTTGTGTTGTTTGCTGTTGTTGGTGGCGGTGTTGTTGCTGTTGCTGTTGTTCTTGCTCTTGTTCGTCTTCTTTATTATTGATTGTAAGATTACTGTTATTGTTCTTGTTATGGTTGTGCTGCTGGTGGGGCTGGTGGTTGCCGGTTCTTGGTTGTTGGTGGCTGTTGTGATGATGACCACGGTCATGAAGATGATGTTCGCGATGGCGGTGCTCATGATGGTGGTGGTGATGGCGATTACGAGGCGGCTGATTTTAACGGTGATATGATGACCACCATCTTCAACATCATGTTCATCATGGTAATGAGCACCGCAGCTACTGTTTTCTTGCCCACTTGCTTACTGAGATTAGGATTGACGGGTGGGTCAAAGCATTCTCATTGCACAGGAAGTTGTAGGATGCCAGGGATCCTTACATTCCACACATAGCTGGAATGTGAACTCTCCTATGACGCTATTCAGTTATTAGGACCCTACAAGCTGCCCCAATGCCTAAGACCTAAGAGTGAGCTAGCTCTCGCGCTCTGTCTCTCTCTCTCTCTCGCTCTCGCCGATACTCCCGTGTGGAGGAGCTTCTCAGAACAGGGGTCTCTGGGGTCACGTCATAGGGTCATGCATGGGGCTAAATGGAAGTCCCTTATCGGGAGTATGTGAGGATTAGAACAAAAAACTCGCATATTATGCCAACACCAAATACATGCATGTCTGAAGCGTGCCCGCGAAATTGCCCAGCTGAAGTCGCAGGTCCGGGAACGGCGAAAGGCCTGCGTTCGGAGCTGTACAGGTGGCGGCCGGAAGCTTTTCAGTATTCATCACAGCATGCATGCAGAGACAGTGGCTGTTTCAGTAGAGCGTCGTATTTAGGTCCTGGTGTTCTGCTGATAATATTTTTTCATTTTCTGTTTCACATCGCCCAGGACTCGAACGAACCCAGTAAGTAGACCATCATGAGTATCATGTGCACGCTGTTTATGTTTACTAAGTAAGTTTACTATATAGACACGTGTATACAGATATACACTTATATGTAGGCATACATAGATGCATGTACACGGTGCACGCATGCATAAGAGACTTGACGAATTATGTGCGTACATGCAAACAGCATTATGTGCATGCATATATGTATGTATTCTGTATGTATCTATGTGTTGTTTGCTTGTGGTTGTGTATATGTGGCGGTATGTATGTGACTAAATATGCATGAGTGTATGTATGTATGCCTGCAAGTATGCATCGACGTATTTACGCGTGCACTGCATGCATGCATTCATGGATGGACGGAGGGAGGGACGGATTCGCATGTACGTGTGCATCTACATTTGTATATGTGTGTACATCTGTATGCATGCATGCATGCATGCATGCATCTATGTATCTTATGTGGTTAAGTCTGTTTGTTTTTCGGAATACATGCATGTATTCATGTACTCCTGGCTTCTTGGATGGAGGGATGGAGGGCCGGACGGACGGTTGCATGTATTTGTCTTTTGCGCGTCAAATTCTCTTCATGTATCTATATCTACTGCCTTCATGTATAAAGATATTCATTCATTTGTGTATTGGTGTAACATGCCTTCGTGTCCTCAGCATTTGCAGTAGTGCCACTGCCACCGCTTGCTGCAGCTGGGCTCGAAAGTCAGAGACGACTTTGTCTGGGTCAGCGAGGGCAGCCGAGAAACTTGCCGCCTGAGCGCTCGGAAAGGCTCCGACGGAGGGATGCAAATCTTGATCGTTGTCCATGTGTCTGCGTCGTGGAATGTGCAGGCCAATCTCGCTGCCTCATGGCAGCCAATATTACGGCGCCGCATTGCCAGCCGGTGGAGGATGTGCCAAAGCTTGTTGGAAAAGGAATGTGAGGAAAGGGAAATGGCTGCAGACGATTCGACTTCAAGCCGTTTGTTTTGCTTGTCCATGTGGTGCCTCATGCTCTTAGCTGTCATAGCTCAGTTCGGCATCTGCATTTCATTCTCCCCAGGCCAGGTGGCCCAACAAAATCACCGAAACCAGACCGCCCGCCCAGGTGCTGAAATTTTACAATGTGAAGGCCGACCATGGGCTTACGTCAGCCCAAGTAGAAGAGAACAGAAAAAAGCGCCTTGGCCTCAAGAGCTGTACCCGAAGTAGATGTAGACACGCAACTTTAAAGCGGTCGTTCGGGATCCTCGATCACGTCCAACAAGACTTGCTTCTGCTTCGGTTTTCGTAGGCCCCTGCCCCTGCAGCGTCCTTCCACTGCCACGTTTCTCGATATGGGGGTTTCCGAAAATAGGGGACCCTAATATAGTACCCGAAATGGTAGGACCCTATTATAAGAACTCCAAAATAAGGCAACCCCTTTTTTCGGAAACTCCCATATGCTTCTGGTTTACAACTCCGGAACTTACCGCGTAAGCTCATGGATCAACTCCCGGTCCAAAGGCTTGTCCCTAGAGGGACACAGCGCGCAGGGGATTGTTGAGGGCTTTGAAAAACAAAAGGGCAGAGGAAACCACGAAGCCATGGAAGGGCAGGGGAAAAGCATGTGACACCGGGCGCCCGCCTCCTAAAGTTTTTCGATTTGGGAATAGAGGTACGGCCCGAACGCCTTGGAAGAGCAGGAGAAGCGGCTCGTTTGCAATTAGACTGATATGGTGCATGCGCCCAGGCATTCCAGAGGCACTTGGTAGAGAGTCCACACTATGTTCCATGAGAGCATCATCGGATGGGGAAGCGCACATGTTGGGATCATGCTTGTACCAGGGCCAGATGGAACCGATGCTTTTCATGTGCTGCTCGCGCCTTGAGCCTCAGGAAATCGCTCTTGGAACTCATCATAGAGCAGTTCGAGGACCTGCAGACAGCTGTAGAATCTGCCATGAAGCGAGCAACTGTTCCAGGGCTCCTACACAGCCTTTCGCTGTGGCAGGACACCTTGGTGCGAATCCTGCTAGCCTCAGCCCCTGGGCTACACAGAGCCTGTGCAGGGCCCCGATGCAGCACCACCATTGTAGGAGAGAAGTGTACGGGTGTTGGAGGTTTGGGGAAGAACCGCTGTTCTGTTCGTCAATAAGTTTTCTTGTGTAGGGAACAGGACGGGCGATTCAAACTCAGGCCAGAGTTTCAAGTTTCAGTGAGCCAAGATCGCACTTCCTGCACCCCGAACATTGAAACTTTGAGCCCGAACGGCCAATTCCAAGCTGCAAGCTTCATAGCTCCGAGTCCTCATGCCATGAACCTTGGCTTCCACGAGGCTATGATCTCCTTCCTCCTGGCTTTCTTTGATGAGAAGTCGAAGGAGGAAGGTTTGAAGGCAGTCTCGCCCTGTTTGCTGACGATGATATCATGGTGATGACGATGATGATAATGGTAATGCACCTGAACGGTCGTAATGGTTCGGTTAGTGATGCCGACGAGGAAATCGTTGGGGAGTCGGGGCATCAGAATCTCAGCTATTAGAAGTAGGGCAGACTTGAGATGAGCGCCACTGGGCTACCTGATGTGTTGCATGGGCTTCGTGCAAAGGGGAGCTGTCATACTCGTAGGACATCTGCGAGCCTATAAACCCCGCTGTGCGATGACCGTCTGGTGGATCCTTGAATGTGCCTGCCAGTCACTTGCTTGGTCCGCTTGTATTAGCTATCCCGCTTCAAGTTTTGCAGGCGTATGTGGAGCCGTTTGTGATCCTGACCATTCTTATCCTCAACGCTATCATTGCGATTTGGCAGGACTCGGGCTTTTTGCTGGAGCTTGGCTGAGGGGATTCAGGGCTTAGTGCGTTGCAGTCCCTCTTCAAAAAGTTTAGAATGTTGACAACCGTCAGTGTCGAACAGCGGCAGACTTTTCTTCCAGGGCTGAAAAATGCAAAAGCCACCCGAGACAGCTGAAACCGCCGCTATGTCCCAAACGCCAAACTGGCCTCACGAGGATCGTCCGAGACCTCAGAGTTGATCCGAGGCCCTGAGCGTTGGCCTGAACCTCCCAACTCAACACAAAGCCTTGCATACCGTAAGCAATGTAGAGGCGACACCAAAACAGAAACCATCAACCCCATGAGCCTGGCCACCATCAAAAGAGCTGTCATCCCTGCAGGACTCCAAGGCTGAGAAGGCTTTGGATGCATTGAAGAAGCACCTCGGCCTGTCCTGGGCAAGAAGCGTGGTGTGGGGCACATGGGGTCTGCAGGGTTTAGGCTGCATGCATGGGCTTAGTGTGTTGGGGCTGAGCGCTTGAAACTTCTTAGATCTTGGGATTCCATGTCCTGCAATGCCCAGAGTCAAAAAGTGGTTACTGTATTATTCCTGAGCTTCGACTCGCGATTCGAAGGAGGTTGGGGTTTCTTGAAATCCCAGATCTAATCAATCTGATGAAGTACTTACTATGATAATAATACAATACTAATCCTATAACATAATGTATTTATATTTGTGTTATATAACATATACATATATATTGTCATATGTTACCATATAATATACTTCACTATGGCATACTCTAGGTATGCTAATCAGAGCATTCCTCGACACCGAGGCTAGCACCAGAGTGCGCTTTTGTTCTCCGGGATGGAAACTGGGCACCGCGGACTGCACCCAACCCGACAGAGTCGACCTCGGTGTCCTTGCAAAGAAGCCCAAAGGGTCCAAGTAATTACATATATATATATATACACATAATATATTTTTGGGCCCAAATACCTACCAAGTACCTAGTATAATGGTACTTGGACCCTAAGGGAAGGGTCTTGGGATGTCTTGGGCTTCAGCAGATGATGCTGCCGTCTTGAGTGCAGAGGGTTTTGAGCTGTAGGTCGTGGTGTCTCCTGCTCATGTTCTACCCCTGAGCATGGAGTAGCGTTTGGAGCTGGGTTCGTGGAAGCTTGCGAGTTTGAGGTCAGGTCTTCTGCCCTAAGCGGAGTTTGTTGGCTGTGCCATGCAGCCTTTGCCCATCGCAGACGAGCGTCGATGCAGAAGACGTCGTGCCCGGTGACATTTTGGAGGTTAAGGTCGGGGACAAGGCAGGGAAACCTGCCCTAAACCCTGGGGCAGTCTAGTGTCGATGGCAGACCTTGGAGCAGGATCCGTGCTTGCCCTGTGTGAGGGTGCGAGTCGAAAGTCCGAGCTTCAAGTCCAGGGTGCATGCTGGACTGCTAGGGGTGCTACTGGTAGCAGCCTTAAACCCCCAGCGAGCAAGCAAGAGAGAGCTTGGCACCGGCATAAACACAGATGCAGGTACATGCGAGAGCCCCAAATCCACATCCTAAACTTAAAGGCCTGACTTTGAGTTGCTCAGGAGCCGAAAACTGCCAGCAACAAATACTTCGTTTGTGAAGTGCGTCGATAACTCAATGGAGTAGCTTGGGCTCCGATGTCCTTCGGCGACTACGATAGAAACCTGCCTGAGTCTCTCTGGAGAAGAAGGTCAGCACTATTCATGGATATTTGCCCGCACATCCCCGGATCATAGCCAGAGCCCTGAAAGAGCTTCAATTGCGGAGGTGCCCGCCGATTGCCGAGTTATGCGGCTCAAGACCACCACGCAAGGGCCTTACAAGCGGTCGGGATGCCTGTAAGCGCACACAGTGGGTTTGAAACACGGCGGAATGGGTTCAGAATACGTAGGCACCGAGCCGTTAGTCCAGAACCTCTGTTAGGAGTGTATATATATATATATATATATATGTATATGTGTATATTTATGTATATATGATATAATGTATCGTGGACGTATGTTCTATGTCCGTGAGGATCAAGATCGAGCAGTCCCAGCTCACGGGCGAGTCCCAGAGCGTCTCGAAGGCCCTGGCATTCGCAAACAGGGCGCATCTTTACTTGGCATTCGAAGGATCAGGGGACTTAGTAAGGGTTTCTTTGAGGGCTCGCTTATGATTCCTTTAAGAGTTTCTGTATTGGGTCTGTAGAGGCTTGGGGTTTGGGGTTGTGTAAAAGGGCCTGCTTAGAGAATCAGGGGTCTTAGTAAGTGGATCTACAAGTACCTTAATGGGGGTTATATGTAAATATAACTGTAATTATAACCCTACTTACTAGGTCTCCTGAACCTCCAACTGCTGCCCAGAAAGGCAGGCAACATACCAAGGTGCATGCGAGAGGCGGAAGGAAGAGCGAGGAGAGAGCGAGAGAGAGATTGATAGATATAGCTGGGAAGTCTCGGAGATTGACGCAGCATTTTTCGTACTGATCTTCTCAAATTTCGGTCGTGGACAGGAAACCAGCGACTGAGGGATCGGCCTTTAGCACAGCACAGGGCGACCGACAGAAGGCTAGGGCGAAGTGGTGGTTTCAGAGGGCTAGTCCAGGCAACAGCGCTGGAACGGGGCGGCTTGTCAACATTCATGAGGGTATCCCACCGCCATGTTTCACGCCGGACCTTGCACCCTGGCATAGCGCATGCACGCAGGGTGATGGGGAGCCGACACACCAAGCACGCGAGCAAGAGACACAGACAGAAGGATTGTAAAGCGCGTGTGTAGGTGGCACTGTCTTGTTCATCGCAGTTGACTGAGTCCAAGAGAGACAGGGAGAGTGAAAGAAAGAGCTACTGTTATGTCCTGCTGCATGCAATGCAAGACGGCGAATGAAGTGGCTGCTAGGAGCCCGACCCACTGCCAAAGTCGAAGGAGAAGGATTGCGTTATCCAGGACCCGCTCAGCAACCGTAGCCGTAACCTACTGTTGCAGACCTGAAGTTTGTTGCTGGAGCCGACAAGCTTACAAACGACATGGTCTCAACTTTTCTCAGCCACCTACAATGCGACAGAGGCCCAGGGCCATCTTGCGCCCAAGCAAGTCCTCAACCTAGGTTGTTGTCCTCGGTTTGCTTCTTCATGCTGTGAGCTGAGAGTCTCTGTGGACCTTCGCAAGCAGATACTTCGTGTGTCTGTTCGTATGTCCAGGCTTCGCACGATGTTCACTCTTACCGGAGTTGCCCGAAACCCAAAGAGCCACAGAGTGGCAATGTGTTTTGAACACAACGCAGCCAGCCCGAAGCTGGAAACGCAGGAGAAGAGCAACCTACTCTTCTCCTCGACCACCATCTCCAACGGCGCCTGCGTCGCCGTCGTCGTGGCTACAGGGATGAGCACCGAGATCGGCATCATCCAGGCTGGGGGCTCTCTCACATACAAGTTTGCATGACTTCAGAACTGTAGTCTGCCTGTAGCCTTGGCTGACAACTAGGCCGCCTGCATCTAGTCTGAACCTGCTGAAAGTGGAGCTTTGTGGGTCTTATCCACTTCATGGAGTGAGGCGGAGCTCATCATTCAAACCCTTCAATCAGCATATGACATGTTTATCCTTTACATGTCGAGCTGAAGCCTATTCATAGACTCAAGACATTGTCAGTATAAGGCATGCACAGGATGCAAGACCGGAGGAACGGCAGCCTTTGCCTGGAAATGTCGCACCTTTTTCTCCCAAACCTTGATCTCCATTGCTTCAGGCAGCCGTGACTAAAGCCGGCGAAGAGGAGGAGCAGACGCCGCTGCAAGAAAAGCTCGACGAAGCTCGGACTTTGCGGTGATTCCTAGCATTTCGTAGCTAGATTCGTGTTTTCGGATCCGTGGCCCTAATCTGAAAATGTGTGTGCCGGTTCGAAAATCGGAGTTGGACCTCCAGGGTGGCCCAGGGCCGCAATCTGTCAGTGTTTGAATGAGGACATAGGCTGCGGTCTGGAGGGCAAAGACAGAGCGAATCATGTGTCTCGGCTTACCAAGGAATTCGGAAACCTGCTGGCAAAGATGATCGGCATCATCTGCTTGCTTGTATGGGTGATCAACTACAAGCAACTTGGGCAAAATGAGCCCTGCAGATACATGATCGAACTGACTTGTGCAGATGATCGGCTGCCACTTGCAGTGGACCTTGTGATGTAGTGCTGAAAAGTGGCTTTGGGAGCCTTCAAATGATGAGGCAATAGAAATCTTTTCGGTATGAAGCATCGAGATAATGATGGTTTGGTTTCAATAATGCGCGGCCTACAGCTGTTCAGGCTTCACCCCGTCTAGCCGCAAAGGCCTCCCGAATATTCCATCCTAAGCCTGAAAGCCTCAGGGGGCCCCTCCGACATGGGGAAAGCTAAACGCGCCAAAGCATGCTCTGTGTAGGCACTTCTTCGATCCCGTCCACGGCTCCGTGATCAAGGGGTCTTGTGCTCAGTGCGCATTTTGCAGACGGGTGCCCGAAGCTATGGCAGGAATTTAAGATCCACGATCGTCCTTCAACTTTGGGACATCGTGATGTCTAGGGTATCCCTAAACTCATCTACAATGTTACAACCCCCCGAGGCCTGCTTCTCAGAGTATGACCTACACAAAGGCTGACACGAGAAGCTTGCACATCCCCGCCGGGCTCCAGGTGCATCTACTACTTCAAGATTGCAGTGGCTCTTGCGGTGGCCGCCATTCCAGAAGGAGACAAGAGACCTGCGCGATGTGGGCTGATTTGTTCTGCAGTCTTTCGGGGCTTTAGTCCTAGCGAAGAAAGGGGAACGTCAGGCAAAGGGCTGCAAGGCTGGGGACAACCAGATCAGTTCAAGAACACAGTGTTGAACTTCAGCATTCTAGTTTGTTGAGGAGTCACATGGACATGAGTCGTATAGATCCCTCAGGCAACTGACTACCGTAGGACGATAGTTCTTTCAGACGCTCCCAACTAACCCTTTGTAGGACTTCCGGCGGTGATCACCACTTGCTTAGCCCTGGGCACACGGTGCCTTGGCGCTTATGCAGTGGTTGCTCTCGATTTCAACACGCTCCGCTGCGAGCTTGTGCTGATGGCCCTTGGAGTAAATGCCTGCCATTATTACGGACTCTGAAGACAGCGCCTTCTTTGCTTTTCTCCCGTTGCGGCACCTTTAGCTTGGGGCGTGGATACGGGTCATGCAGGCAGATGGCCAAGCGAAATGCCATCGTCCGCAAGCTGCCCTCCGTCGAGACGCTGGGCCGGGCCCTCTCGCATTTCCGTGCTTTTTTCGCCAGGTGTAACGAAGTCCCCAACATAATTAGCATAGGAAGCCCTGGGTCTGCGATCGAGATACCCGTTTGGTCCTTGGAGCTCCGCTTTTACTTCGGCGGTGTCTCAGTGGTCCGGTATCGGGTCGGCTCCTTCAAGTGTGTGGGTACTGCTTGCCGGAGCCTCGGAGACTGCGATGGTATCTATAGCCTCTCTCGTTTGAAAAACTGCACGGTTTAGGTGCAGGACTTATGCCAAGTGGTGGAAGGTACTGAGATCAAGCCCACAAAAATCCTATCTTTAGCCGCTTGACATGCTGCGAAAAAGCCATCCAGATTGCATGTCAAGCACCTGTTAGAAACACATGCAGTTCCCAGAGGCTTGCTCTTTAGGAACTTTTTAGAAAGTATGCTGTGTTTCTCAAGGGTCCGACTTCTAGCGCAGTCAGGGCTTTCGAAGAATGACCTGCCCAAGGTCCGGTCGTAAGTCTGCTCCGGCGGAGCGTTTCCGAGTGACAGGGTTTGATAGGGCCTCAAGATTGCGGGTATGCCTGATTCTGGATTCACTGATCTTGTCAAGTCTGTCGACGTTCTCCGGGGCCCTTGGGGCTGAGGTTGCACGACTGTCATTTGCTCCGACAAGACTGGAACGTTGACGACCAACGAAGCTTGCGCTGCATGTGGTGTTGCCAGCGGTGTTGACAGCTTAATCTGATTGATCCGATTCACACCAGTTTGGCGAGCTGGAAGCAGAGCCAGTGCCCGTTCGGAGATGTGGGAAAGCTGCAGTCTAGGAACTATGCCTGGATAAAAACATATCGACGACTATGTAAAACTGACTGTTCTGAAACTGCTACTAAAGTCTGTCTATGTCTACGTTACAGACGGTTAGATTTGCGACATTCCCTGGCATCTATGGATTCCCATCATGCTCGTGGACTAGAATTGCCTTCGTATGCTCCACCGCAATGTCAGCTGAGGAGATGTGTGTGGTCAAGCTCGCACTCCCCAGCGGCGACGGGCTGAAGGCGGGTATGTAGCCCTCTTTCGTTTACCCGGTTGATTCGGATTCATTATGATTCATTCTACAAGGAGCGTTTATGGAGTAAGTCTGCTCAGGTTTGGGGGCATCTTCCGCGCAATATACATCTCATAATTACTGTGCTCACTTCATACATCGCGAGTCAGCTCCAAACAGACTTGATGACTTGCTGTTCAGGCTTTAATTCGTGACTTCGAGATTGAGTGAGAGCGTGTTAGAAACAAGCTAGCGCTGCCTGTACCAGCCGTCCCTGAGGACTACGATGTCGAAGGTCCGAGCCCCAGATGCGTGGCAGATGGCTGACGAGGGCCACTTTCTGTGGACCTTCTAGATTCTAGATCTTTTAGCTTATGCACTTGTATGCCTGCACACAACCTCCTGTACCGTACGCCCGCAACTTGACATTGTCGAGTTTATCCTGGAGCAACTAGGCTCAACGAGGTCTTAGCTTAACCAGGGCCCAACTTACTCCATCAAGAGTCTGGACTTTCAAAAATTCATTCACTGGTTTGGCAAATGAGGAGAGGATGGGTTCGTTATTTCGGTGCGCAGGTTCCATGATGCACACTTCTTTTGGCGTTTGGCCGGGCAAGGTCACAACTACATGCCTGTGGGCCGCGTAGCGAAGCTCGACATCGATTGGGGGAAGAACGACGCCATCAAGACCTTGGCCAAGCACGGGCCTCAACTTCGGAGCTGCAGAGGCTTCCTTTGGGTTTCAACGGCCAACGTGTCACCTAGAGCTTACGTTAAGAGTCCCTTCATCTCCGGCTTGCATGTCGCGCCGGTCCGAGTTTGTTTATGCCGACTGGGACGCTGCAAGGTGTATGCGATTGAATTCCGCTGTTGCGATGTGACTGTGACTGCCGGGCTTCGGTTCGACATCGAAGACTTTGACTTCTGCGAGCGCGTGAGAGTCGAAATGATTCCCCAAACCCCGCTGCGCTCCCTCTTTGCGCCTCGGGCCGAGGATCGGCTGCATGTGCAACGAGTCGAGGCTCCTGGTCGACGACGAGGCCGCACGGCTATAATTTAGGAGCTAGGGTTCGTGGCCTCCAGGATTCTTTTGCAGGCTTCTTCTAAAAAACCTATAAAGGCTTCTATATATCTGCTGCTATGAAGCTTTTAAGATGTGGCTGGTGGAGGAATCATGTCGGATTCCTTGCAGCCAGTTGCTGGGCCTTCTCCGTGCAGAGTGGAGGCTGAAAGCTTCACAGACATGTATAGGATGCGCAAGCTTGTGCCAGCATCCCCCCCGAGCCCTCTCACCCAGCTGTTTGTCCTTCTGGCAGAGAGTGCAAGGAGAAGTTCATCAGAAATGGCGAGCCCACGGAAGCTGCCATCCGGGTCTTGGTCGAGAAGCTCGGCTGCCCGGACCAGGCGCAGGGGTTCTTCAAGGGCTCCATAAGGAAAAGGGTTCTTAGCAAGGACTGAGGGTTTAGGTGGCAAGGTTTGTGGTGTAGGGTTGAGTTTAGGATGCAGTAGGCCAGGAAGCATGGATTTTCGAATTGGGTGTCCGGTGAAAGGCCATTGAACTGTCGACCCTAGCGAAGGTGGTCCTGTAGGTGCCGATTGAAAAGCAGGCTGTGAATACTCAGCAACTTTCAGCTGCAGCTTTGTCGGGCAACTCTTGCGATGCCAGGCGCTCAACCAGAGATGCTACCAGAAAGACAAGAGGCCCGCTCACTGCATCTTCCACGATGGGTTTGCGCGGATGTCCATCTAAAAAGCTCCATTCCTGAACTCGCACCCCATTCCGGAATTCCGGGCAAAAGCACTTCATGCCAGGTCGAAGGAAGATGCCATGGCTTTCTCGCAGTACTGGGAGAAGGGCATGGAGAAGAAGGCAGAGAAGTCCGGTCACAGCGGCTTATAGTCTTCAAGTGTTCGAGCCGTTTTAGAAAGAGACAGGAGGTGTAAGCCCCATGTTTGCCCACTGACTGGTTTTGCTTTTTGCAGGCCGTCCTGGAATTCAGCCGGGACCGGAAGTCCATGAGCATCTTGGTCTCAGCTCGAAGTGTGAGTAGTACGGCATCGGAACGCCGTGGTATTCTGGGACATGCAACCTACGCTCGTCGGATAAAGGCGAGGTGGCACACCGCCGGCAATGCGATTACTCATAGGTGAAACAACCTGGCGCAGCTGTGGCGATGCGTACCGTTTAATGTAGATGCCCAGACACGTCTGCCATGCCCGCGTTGCTGCAAGTGAGCACAGCTCAACCCTAACTGGCAACACAAACCGTATATAGTCACAGGCAAGCCCCAAAAACCTTAACTAAGTCCGAATGAAACTTTCAACATCGCTTTACCAGCTTAGGTGTGCTGTGGAACGACAGCTCTGCTGGTAGCAACGTCCTCTTCGCCAAGGGAGCTCCGGAGATGCTCGTAAAGCCTTCCGGACAAAAACAAGTTAGGGTTGCCAGGATTGAAGGGTGTGAGGTTTCAAGGTTCATAGGATAGGATTCATAGTAGTGTAATTCTTGTTATCCTAAGGTTTTGGGTCCTGCTAGGACACAAAGCTGCTTTTGCCATCGCTCTGTGGGTTTGCGGGTCCTTGTACTGAAAGACGCTTTCTTACTTGAACCTCGACTCCGTCCGCCGACAAACAACAAATCCGGAATGCCTGTTTATTTGGAACCCATTTAGTTTCGACATATCAGGGCTGCTTGCAATGGTGACTTTGATGGTTCGAACGCCATGGCAGTGACAACTACCTCTTGCTTGGTTGCTTGAGGTTTGGTATCTCAATTTTGTTGAAGTTCGTCGGAACTCCTTAGGCTAAAGCTTGTGGCACCAGGACAAGTCCTCCCCCTGAAACCCTCCGACCACTTGATCCAGCTAACACGCCTCAGGCGATGCTCCAAGATCATGCTGCCCGACGGAAAGGCAGCCTGGCTCACAAACCTCCATATCCAACAGTCAATAGAAAGCTTGGGAGGAGCCCTTACTGTAGGAGCGACAGAAGTTTCGCAAACCTCACGAATTTCGGGATATCTGGTAGTCACACTCGGCTTTGCGATTGAGGTCGAACCGCTGACGGACAAGTGGCGAAATGCCATCGAAGGCGGGGCACAGCTGACGTACCGAAACACCGAAAGCTAGCTGAAAACCAAATGGCTCTCTGTCATCCCACGTGCAACGCCATCTTATATCTATGACAGTCGGCCTCTGAGCGGAGTGCGTGAGGTGAGCTGCAGTCCATGGCACGGTCGGCGCTGCGAACCATGGGTGTCTGGGATTGCATGATTTTGGGCATCCCGCCCCTTTCAGCCGTAGGGTTTCGAAGCCTTGGGCTTCCCTGGAATTATAGCAACCAGAGCTGACACCAACATTTGCAAGAGCTTCAAGGTTGGCGGTGTGAGTGCTGCTTGTTTACGAGATGCTCGGCTCGTCTGCAATCATGCCACTCACGGACTTGCATTTGTCATTATCATTAGCCTCAATTACCATGTACAGATGCTGTTTGAAAGCTCAGCGATTGGTGTCACATCACAACAACTCTGCGTGAATTTCTCGACGTGCCCAGGCTTGGCAGTCAAGTCTCAGGACAGCTATTGCCGGTCCCATGACAGCTCTTCGGAGAGTGCTTTTTACGTTGGACGTGCTGAGAACGTAGAGCAAACTCACGTTTGAGCATGCTTCCCGCAAAACCCACCCAATGACCGAAGTCGGTGGCCGTAGCTCGCACCCGCCTAACCTCGCAGTGCCTGTGCGGAACTTGAAGTTTACCGTTTACCACATGTTGCAGGACCTCGGGGAGCTGCAGACATACGACGGCTCCCATAGCCATCCAGGTGCTTTTGTGGCAACAGACGTGCTTTTGCGATTCTTCCAAGTGGTTCCCCAATAACTTGGGTTGCCTAGGAAGAAATGGAAAAACTCGTTCCTGTCCTAGTCGGCAGTATAAATATCAGTATAATCTCCTTTCAAAAATTGAAGCTCTTCCTTCTTTATAATTTTCGAGGTCCTGACTCCTGCAACATTGCACATCATGATGAGTGTTTCTGTTCGTAGTCATTACAGTCAGGTTGGCAGACCATGCTTTAGAACAAGCAGTGTTGCCCCAGGCCATGCGCTCCTCGCAGAGCCAGCGAAATTCGCTGAGATTGAGTCTGTTTCACGGCTGAAAACTCAACAGTTAATGTGTGAAGTGGGGATCGCTGGGTTGGTAGACTCCACTTCTTATTATGCAGGTTGCGGCGTGAACTTGCAGAGTGCTGTTAGTGGGGCCGTTTTATGAAGACAATCGAAAACAGCACGCCTGCTCAGGAGATGACCTTTGTGGGCATGGTTGGCATCCTGGACCCCCCGCGACCAGAGTGTAGCCCCGCCATTGAGGCCGCCCGGTGCCGGGTTCCCGTTCTTGCTTCAAGGGCGGTCTGCTCGAAAGTAATTGCCCTTTTAGGATCTGGCCTTTCGTAAGTTTCCAGAACACTCTGCGGATCTTCGAAACTGTTGCGGCTACCTAATTCCACGGTATCAAAGAACCAGCCGCCTCCTCGTATAGCTTCATGCAAGAAACAAAAGTGTCTGGTGGTGACCAGGCATGCCGCGTCGCCGGTATCAGCGTCCAGAACTCAGAACATGGCTTAAGCTCAAAATTGTTTAGCCGCTTGCCGGATCTCTGTCGCTGTGGTTCTCTCGATCCTGCTACTTTCGGGAATGGGTTTCGACTGATACTGCCTTGTTCTTTGATCAGACGTTGTTTGGTGTTCAAGCCGCGACCAAGCGTCTGTGGCCTGCAGCACGGCCAGATCGCTATCCCGAAGCCCAAGCACCAAAATCGCGTGGAGCGATGCACAACTGCAGGGCACATTTCGGCTTAACCGGGCCCAGGTCATCATGATCACGGGTGACAACAAGACGACAGCTGAGGCACCTGCTGGAGCGGAGTGGACATGTCTAGCTCGGCTGCATTGCCGTTCCGACGGGCCCAGTAATGGCCCAGCAACAGATGGTGTGTGTTTGTTTGTGCTGGACGGGGTTGAACATGTTGTAGTATTTGTAGTCGAGTGGCATGAGAGTGATCGTCTGTGGCATTTGGCATTGGTGTGACTCGGCACCGCTCTTTGGGTATCTTGAAGCAGCGCGGACGCATTCCTCAATTTGCAACGCATCTTCCAGTGCCGCCTGATGCCTGGGACTGGTGTCTCCATCTGATTCCCCACAAAGGTCTTTGTCGGTGTGAATGCTGCTCCGCGCTCGTCCGATTCGAGGGCTCCTGTCTGGCTTGCACAATTATTTAGGAAGCTTGGACGGAACATATTGCAGCACTGGATCGTTTATCTCACTGCCGCCGCTAGATGATGTCAGCCTGCTTGATGCGACGCCTTCAGCCAAATGGAGGCGCTCGAGAAGCCATCACATGCTAATTGCAGGCCACGGACCCGAAGAATGTTTGATGAGGCTGGCCAGATGCAGTGCGACATCTGCGGAAAGCATCGTCCTGAGGAGGATTTCTATATAAAGGCCGGCAGCGTTTGCAAGACATGCTATCGGGACAGATGCAAACAGTACCGGCGGACATTGCGTGGAAATGCCTCCGTTCTGGCCGGCGGAGCTAGACTCCGCGCAAGGCAGCATAACTTGAGTTGTTTTTTGACAAGTCAGGACATCCTGGAGATGTTGCTGGAACAGCGTGGGCGATGTGCCTACTCTGAAGTTCCAATGGAACTACTTCTTTCCCAGTCGCACTGGCGCATGTCCTTGGAACGGCTGGACAACTCCAAAGGCTACGACCGAGAGAACTGTGCTCTGATTTGTGCCGAATTTAACTCGTCCGACTACAGCCGACGTGCAGGTGTTGATCCAGCAAGTGTACAAGGTACAGCCCAGTGGTCTGTAGAGAAGGTTGGCTTCGTTGGCAACGCCTTTCCATCTTGCGAAGTTGATCTACATGAGCTCGCTACAGATGTTGAAGAGGCTTCCGCCGAGCGCATTCTGCGCGGTCCTCGCCTCCCAAACTCCTTCAGCCATTCCCGTAGCTACTACAACACGTTGAGGGGCAAGTCGATGGCAATGGCTTGGCGGGCAGCAGCAAGATCTCGAAAGCGGGGACACACCTGCCACGTTACTTACCGCGATATTCTTGACATGCTGGTCGCACAAGAAGGAAGATGCTTCTATTCTGGAGTACCGCTGGAGTATAAGAAGTCCCATAGAGATTGGGTCATGTCACTCGAAAGGCTTGACAACCGCTTCGGGTATGTGGAGAACAACTATGTTCTGATCGCAACAGAGTTTAACACCTCAGACCGCCGAAGCACGGCTACAGGAGAAGTGTATGGCTCGTCGCAGTGGTCCTTGGCGAAGGTGATGCATGTCTGGGGCAGAGCAGGATGTTATCAGCGGTGATGTTCACGTCCCTGAATAAAATCTCCTGTGGTTTATCGGTCGGGAAACCTGGCACGATAGCGGGTCTTGTGGCAAGCATTGGCCAGCTGCTAAGAAGTAGCTATGATACCTGACCTGTCGAGATGCCGACCGCTCTATTCGCATGTCGTCTCGCGTCGCTTTGCTTCGGCTGCGCTTTAGTCTTGCAGGTCCTTCAGGCTCTGTCCTCCTGATTTTATACGGGAGCCCGAGAGACCGCCCGACATCCCTGCAGACCACCATCAGGGTTTTTGTTGCGGATTTCGTCTTAAAAAACAATTGCTTAAGCTGGTCATGGCACAGCTTAACTGGTCCGAGCTATGAAACAGAAACCAAAGCCTAACTGAAGAACCCTGGCGGGAGGCCATCTCCCAAAAGCTGGGGATCCTGGCGCCTTCGGGCGGCCACAAGGAGAACTCCTTCACTGGACAGGCCGGACTTTGGGGCTGGGAGTCCTGAGAAGCACTCCGGCGGCTAAACATCTGACCATCGAGTTTATGTTGGGAATGTCAGCACAAGCAGCGATAATGAATAGTCTTATACGAACCCTAAGCCGCAGAAACAAACCCAAGTCCACAATTCCTTCTAACGCTATGAGCTCCACGCAGGAGTTCGAGGCGCTCTCCGAGGATCGCAAGGTCGAGGCCAGAGCTGAGCGAAAAGCCCAGGACATGTCGATTGAATCTGCAGAAGCACTACTTGTGTAGGAATTACAGGGTTACAGGACCTATAGTAGAATGTCATCCAACATTTAGTATATTTAGTGAAGGTGTAAACTGGGACAGCTTTCCGGTGTGGGGTTTTTGGCTTGGCAGTCACCGCGCACTGCCGCAGTGCGTGCCCGATTCGATGGGAGGTGCTGCAGAAGATCATGGAGCGCAGAGATATCGAAGGTGCAGTGTTTTCCCGTGACTAGCCCGAACTTGGAGCTGAGAGGCTCTCGTCTCACAGCACTTGGGGGAGATTACGTAGATTCGTAGATGCTGGTTCTGAAGACCGAAAATAATGCCCAGTGTGTCAGTCTCCGGGACTCCCCATGGGGCCGAGCCGCAAACCCCCCAATCCTCCTGCAACCCCCACCCTTTGTTGCAGGCAAAATGTTCGACAGGAAGCAGGGGTTTACGTCAACTGGTCCACATTGATCCATCATGGATTCTGGCACACTCTTAGCTTCAGCCCGCCGAGGTACTGAGCCCAAGCACAAGCAGCTTATTGCAGCTTGGCTCGCAAGCTTCGTCAGTCTATGACCAGGTTTGCTAAGCCTCAGCTTCTGGAGGGCTTCTGGCGCGGGTAGATGGGTCGATCTTCCAAATTCGGGTAGGCATGGCGTTTTGAGGCAGGCTTGGGCGGTGTAGGCACTTGCAGGACCAAAGGTTCGGTTCGGCTCAGGTGCCGTGACCTCAGGTGTTCTATTTCAGGGCTGGGCTTCATATCCGGGCTTTCGTCCTCAGGTCAAGATCCTCAAGTCATTAGACGAGATTGCAGCCATGACTGGCGACGGCGTCAACGATGCCCCGGCTTTGAAGCAGGCACGCCTAGACTGTAGATTTCAGAGGCAATGTTTTGGCGAAGGTGAAGCTGTGCATGCTAGGTGGTCCAATCATGTGCTTCTCGCTCCGTCAGAATGTGCTAAATGTTGCAGCACTTGATCACTGAAGCTGCCACCTGACTTCTGTATACACGAATCCGGACTGCCTCCCAACGCTTGTTCAAAGCACCCTGAGGGGTTCATGGCTGCTAGATTGCCTGAGAGCAGGCCGACATTGGCATCGCCATGGGCATCGCAGGCCCGCTGCTGCCCCGAGATCCCATCTGGTGCTTCCGTAAAGAATTTGCTGGTCAGGGGCACACAGTGCCGTCAAAACATCTGCCATTTTCGCGAAGCCTCGAAGTCCCAGAGTTCCGATAACATGAGAACCTGAACCGTGATCGTCCCCATCGCCCGAAACCCTGACCTCATCTGACAGAGTCCGAGTTCTGAGCCTCTCTCAACAGTCCTTGAACCAAAGAACCCCCATTCACCCCCCCCCCCCTCCTGGCAGGTACCGAGGTGGCGAAGGAAGCCTCCGACATGGTCCTGGCCGGATTCCGGGCTTTGGGTTCTGTCGAAATTTTCGAGGGATCGGTTGAAATAGGTTATCAACCTCGGATTGAGTTGGTATCAAACGGCGTACACATGGATTTTGTAAAGTCTCGTGTTATCCTCGAAACTTGTGGCCATAGCGGCTGCAGCACTGGGCCGGGTAGGCCGACGACAACTTCACGAGCATCGTGGCTGCCGTGGAGGAAGGCCGATCCATCTACAACAACATGAAGGCCGGCTGTTCGCAAGAGCCGAGAAATCGAAGCTGCGGTCACCGGCTCGTTGGGTATTGAAACTCTAGGAAGATGGTTGGTTGAGTATTGTTTTCGCATGCTGCATACAGCTTAGATGCCAGTTCTAGCCCCTTGCCCAGTGCGGGCCATCCTGTGGGAGCCTAAAACAGGCCGGAGCTCTCAATCTGGGAATTCTACAGTTAATGTGCCGAAGTTCGTGTCTATTTTCATTCAAGCAGATTTTGCCAGGCCTTCATCCGATACATGATCTCGTCCAATGTCGGAGAAGTCTCTTGGCAGAGCTAATCGTAACACGAAGATTAGACATTGATACAGTTGCAATGAAGGGGTCGAGGCCGGAAGATCATGACATGAATGCTTTGTCAGTTTTGTTCGGCCAACATCGTGAGACTGAGATGAACTCATGAGACCCTCCGTGGCATGCACGTAGAACAAGAAGAAGTCGATAGGAGTCGCCTTTCTCAGCTGGAGTTGTTGCTTAAACGGCGTGGATCCAATGCCCGGCCATCTGTGATACGTTTAATGGTTAGTCGGTTAGTCTGCGCTGCAATACCACCTTCGTCGGCAGAATCTTAAATGCCGAGGAACTAGGACTGACTCGGACTGACAGCTGAGGTCGTAGAAAGCCAGGACAAGTGCATATCGTTGCAGATTTCAGGTTGTTGTCACGGCAATTTCACGTCAACAAGGTTGCAGCCATCTTCATCACGGCTGCCCTCGGCGTGCCGGAGGGCCTCACACCAGTCCAGCTCCTTTGGGCCCCTCGGACAATGTTTTCGTTAGCGCCGGTTAGGCTGCAGGTGCTTTGCGGCAATTAATGCTGTTTTCTGTTTCAGTGTCTTCAGCATTCTAAGACTTGCAGTGTTGGAGAAGTTGTTTCGGGCTGGCGGGAAGGTCTAAGCTCTGAATGCGCAGCACATGGCCGATCCGATAAAACCTCGGCATTCGCAATTCTCCACTGGTTGTCCAGAGGCTCTTTGGGTTTCGGATATATCCTGCTGACATTACGATGCCAGCCGCTGGCCTCGAGTGTCTGAGGTGAACCTGGTCACCGATGGCCCCCCGGCCACTGCACTTGGTTTCAACCCTCCTGACCTGGATGCTGCTTGGCCGAGAAAACCCACTCCGCCCAAAGCAAAAAAGCTTACGACGTCTGAAAAACGGGCTTGGTCCTTTGGGGTGGCCGTTGGGCCCAGCAACACGTGAGCCGGGAAGAGCAAGCAGGTTCGTGCCTTTGGTGCTACCCGAATTGATTCACAACACCGTGGGATGAATTTGACTGCCACACACCAGGTGATGAAGAAAGCGCCGCGACGGAAAGACGACGCTCTGATCTCCGTCTGGTCCTACGTCCGCTACTTCGTGGCCCATGCCTCATCGCGAAGGGCTCTTCATGAAGAGATGTTTGTTTGTTGGTTTGTTCAATGAAACAGCGCATGTTTGTTTCTCAACATACCCCCCCACTTGCCCAGGCCTGTCGTTCAAGTTGAGGCTGTCGTTTTGGAGTGTTCACACTGAGGTCGGCGCATATGTCGGCTGCGCTGTCGTTGGCATCTTCATGTGGCCCCAGCAGCAATGAGATGGGCATGACGTTAAGGCTACAATGTCACGGTAGTCATGTCGTCGGAGGTCCGCTTCCGTCTTTTCGTAGTTGTTGAGGCCCCTATAATCCTATAACGCATGTTGAGATCCCCCAGGCCTGAGAAGAAAGCCTCATGAACCCTACAGGCACGCCGGAGCCTCGCAGTTCTGGCCCGTGCTCCCCTACGGCGCTTTTTTCTCTCTCTTGAGCCACTGCCAACCTTGACTGGTCAGCTCAGACGAGCCCTATTTTGGGGGATTGAGGCTTAGGGTCAAGGGTCCCCAGCCTTACCCAAGCTGGCTGAGGTACTGGTACATCCTGGATGTCAACCCAGATGGTCACAGCTTGGTCACATTAGAACAGCTGCTGACATGGGGCAACTGCCAGCAGTGGAAGGACCTCCTTGGTTGGTGGCGGAGAGCTTTCAAGACTGCAGATCTGAAGACCTCAGTGTGTTTAGTTGTCCTTAGGTTGGCTAAGACTAGCGAGCTAGTGGCTGGTTTAGGCCTTCCCTCCTTTGTCCTGACACCGGAGCAGCGAATTTCCGAGATGGTACAGCGAAGTGCAAGTGCAATAGCCTTCAAGTCAGGTCAAGTCAGGCAGTTGTTGACAAAGCTCTGTGAGTTGCTTGCGATCGCAGGACTTCAGAGTAAACAGCTATGAAGGTATGAGCTGCGTGGCACAAGAGCAAGGGGGCGGGTGAGATTGCAATCGACATTCGGGATCTCGAGCTGGCAAGCTTACCTCGGTTTTGAAGCCGAGGCTCCTAGGAGGGTTGAGGCCTCAAGTACATCAGAGCCTGACACGGGATACGTAATGACCGACACTCGTGCTCGAGGCTTCTCTAGCGATCCATGCTCGTACTTCACCGAGGGCAAGATCAAGGCATGGACACCGGCCGAGACGTACTACAGGGGCCTCTAGAACTGCCAATACTATTTGGGGGGTTCCTTATTATAACTATAGTATGGGGGGTTCCTTACTATAACTATAGTATAATGGTGGCATGCTGTGAGATGTTGATACAGTCGCGAGGGTACAGACTTAGGACAAGTGCTGGACCACAGAAGGGCCTAAACTGGCCCAAACCCTGAATTACTTACGGCTCATGAATTCAGAAAGCCACTCTCCTTGGACTGCGCCCCAACAGGCGTCCACGCTGTCCTTGACGGTTTTGGTGGTCATCGAGATGCTCAATGCCTTCAACGCGTTGTCCGAGGCCGGCGCCCTACACTCCAAAATCGACAGCTCTAAAATCTGGAGCCGCACATAGCAAGGGTGAACAGAGTGCCCGTGATTGCTGTTGGAGCGCGAGGCAGGTGGGGGGGGTCTTTTGGGAGGCGCTTTCGTTTTTTGGTGGCTTCGTAAGGTGCTCAGGAAGAGGTGAGGTGCAGACTGCTACCGACGAGTGTTCATTGAGCTTCTGAATGCACGAACGAAGCCGTAGCCACTGTAGCCGTAGTGGCGGAGCCTTCACAAGCTTTTGCGAAGCACGACGAGCCCCTCTCGATGTTCACAGCTTTTTCGGCAGGACGGTTCATTGGTGCAGATGCCGCCTTGGGCCAATCCGTACCTCATTGTGGCCGCCAGCATTTCCGTCTCGTGGCTCAGGGATGACACGCCAGGGTTTGTCGGCTTGGGGAGAGGAGAGGGCTCGGAAAGTCCATCGGACCTGTAGGATTGAGTGTAAAGCATTGTAAAAGCTTCTTCGGAAATTTGGCATACGAATCAAGAAGCTGGACAACGCAGCGTTCGTGGTGCGATTCCCTGAAAACTGCGGCCCTCAGAAACGTAGGACCCGAAGATTTGAAATCCCCCAGCCCGCGGCCCTTTCCCAGATTGGTTGCCACTTCGTCATCCTGTACATCCCTGGCCTGGCCTGGGGCCCAGCCGGGCCGCGGCTCCCGCAGGGGACGAGACGCGCAGAGAAGTTCCGAAGGGAACGGAAGTGGGCACAGTTGCTACTTTGCGTAGACTTCGGTCAACGTGGGGCTTTGACGAGCCATCAAGGAAGATCGTCACGGACAGACAGAGAGACAGAGCATACCTTGGCTGTTCGCCAGTTTTGAGTTCAGGGTGTGTCGAGTCGAGTCTAAGCTCAAACTTCTGGGTCTTCAGGCCACCATTTTTGGTGTCGTGCCTCTGACGCTGCTCCTTGGCAGAATTGGTCCGACTCGACATTTCGACTTCACCAGGCACTGGGCTCGCAACTCCTTATTTCAGTGCACATGTAGGGTTTCGGTCACTTCATGCAGCAGATTCTCCAGGCACGACTGGTTGTTGGTGCTGGCCTTCTCTTTCCCCGCAGCTTGTCCGCAAAGATGTTTGCACGGCCACGCGGGCTTGAAGTTGGGGAACACGGGTATGGCCAGGTTGTGAAAAAGGATCTGCATTCATCGGCTGCCTAAATGACCGCGGCATCCTCTTCCTAAAGTTTCGCTGTGGCCCTCACATTGGCCACAGCGTTTGCAGTCAGCACACCCTTGCTATGTCCGTGCATGCCCGACGCCAGGTCATTCTTATTGACGAGATCCTTAAATTCATCGGCAGACACAGTACGCAGGCCTTCGCCTCTGGGATCAGTTCTCAGTGTCAGGGTTGAGGGTTTATAGGTAGGGTTTCCGGGTCAGTTGGTAAGGATCCACAGTTCTCCACATCGGGGCTTCTCTTCCCATACTTTGCTGTACATGGACTTCGGGTGCCAGAGCCTTGCAGCGCAAGCGGCGGGACAAATGGCGACGTTGCATCTAAATCTTTAAGCGGATAAATCTGTCAGCTAACAGGTTCTATCAAATAGTTCTATTTGATGCTTAGGCCTAGGCTTCGGTGGTATGCCTTTCTTCGATGTGGAGTAGCTCTCGGAATGTACTTACAAGCTACCTGCGAAGGTTCTGCATCTTGCTTTTCAGTTCCTCGGCCATAGCTGCTTCTTGCAACTGTAGAGGAGTGAAATCTGCTTCCGGGCTCGCTGCAGGCGGCTTTGAGAGAGAAGGACAAGGACGCCTAAGGCGAGAGCCGCTACCTGGCCTCCCAAATCCTTTCGGGAATCTGTGGGATCTTCAGACTTTCAAGCTCTTAAGGCTCGAGGTTTGTGGTTGTTGGTGTATCTCGTGCCAGGTTCTGCAGTTTCAGTTTGAGGACGTTGGCTTCGAGCGCGGTGCGGGCTTCCAGTACGAGCTAGCACCACGCCATGCATGGCGTGGTAATAGATCACATGTGATACTAGTATCATGTGGAGTTTCATTGTCTTTTTGCTTGAAGTATAAAGGGGCCGGTTACACGGCCACGCTTTTTCCTCCGCTCGGATCAGTGGAGCTAGAGAGTCTAACGGCGAATAAATATGAGCCTGTCTTCGTAGTTCCTACATGTTCCCGTTGCATAGGATCAGCCCCTCAAGCCGGCCCAAGAATCGATGCACGAAACCCAGATCCATCATCGGGAAACGTCCGAGTGCCCTTTTATCAAGCCTTGCGTGGTAGCTTTGAAGTGGCCCATATATATATATATAATTATATATATATATATATATATATAGACACACATACATACATATATATATAATATATATACAGATCCTTATGGTTCCCTAAACCCGAAACCCTCTGCTAAGCTTTCTGAGGCCCCAAGGAGCTCTCCACCTCTGGCGACAAGACGCATTTCCAGGAAGCTGCGGAAGTCCTCCGCAACCGTAGACTTTTGGGGGGTCCTCTTAGTCTACGACTACGATGCTTCGTTAAACTTAGACTTTTTGTGACCTGTTAGTCTATTATGCTTCGTTAAACTTTCAAAACTTTCCGGCCCCAGACCGTAAGTCAAACCTCTTGTGCTATGAATTGGGAGATCAGGGCTTTGGGGGTGAAACCTTGCGGGTGCAGGGTATGTTGAGCACTCTAACCTGAGCATGTTCGAGGCCTTCAGATGCTGGAAGTAAAACAGTTTTGGGTGCTCAGGGCAGTTTTAGGTCTATTCGGGCTGAATGCTTTTGCAGCGGCAGCTTCAAGATCTTTAGGCCACGTTGCTGAACAGCCGTATGATGATACTGGACCAGCACCCCGTAAAGCAATATCTGCAAGCTTAAATCTGTCCTTCCATGCCCTGTGTGCGAGTGCGCCAGTCGAAGTGTGATCTTTGGACATCTTGTATGGGTGCAGGTGTGTAAGTGTCTACGGAGGCCTCAAGCAGCATTCGCCCGGTATGGGTTAAAGTCATATCTCCGGGAAGGGTCACAGCACAACAAGTGGCAAGACGATCTGAACAGCGTTGTGGAATGGAAGACATCTGCCGCCTGGACAGAACCAATGCTTTGGGCTTGTGCCCATAGATCAAAGACCGCCATGCAGACGCGTTGCCGAACAGACAAGACACTCTCAGCTTGCATGCCGATGCTTGCGTTAGGCCGCACCTGAAGAGGCAAACGCGAGTGCGGGCGGACCAGTCCTTCTGATTGTTGCTCAGATTGTCCTGGACGGATCCGACAGACGTTCAGGGGTCAGCTCCAGCTATACCCAAGCCAGAAATTCACGTAGCCGGTGGATATCCCAGTCCGGGAGCTTTAGTTTTGGGGGTTTCGGACTACGATATCGATATCCGATGGACAGCACCTGGCAGGAGCGGAATAAACAACTGAAGCGGATCTCGCAGTTTAGCATCTGCCTCGAAAGGGAACGCTAAACCCGAAACCCCGAACTCTGAGCTAGATGATTTTTTGTTTCGGTCAGGGCTTGTGCAGATCTTGGACAGAAAACAGCTGGACGTGCCGCGACTACCGGTTTTGTTGAATGTTGCTTCCGCCGGACATACCAGAAAGGCAAAGGAAAGGGAACGGCGGATAGACATCCAACGATTGTAACAGGCTGGCGCTGCAGTGCTAACCACGTCCTCCGAGACCAATTTCAAGGTAGATTTGTGGAGTGGTATAATCGGATCACTACATCATGGTACGTGGCTATCCTCCGCTTCCCTGTAGGCATACCACTGAGAGGGCCCTCGCTGCACAGAATGCCGTGACGTGCAGAAGATGAAGAAAGAATCCATACAACTAGCCCAAGATCTGGGCCTTCGCACGGCTTTCTGGATGTCAGCGGCCTTCTCCAATTACCAATGTGCGGTTGTTTAGCGGGCGCATGAGTTTTTTCTTTCCGACGGTTCAGCGTGAACCCGACTTGGGCTGAAGTGATGCAGAAATGCAGATACGGTATATAGATGAAGCTGCAGACTGTAGGCTGTACGGAGAGTTGCAAAATATCCTAGATGGCGGGGCATCACCTCGGCAAAGATAGCGATGGTGCGGAAGCTGTAGGTATAAGAAAAGAGCGAATGTTGCACCAGCAGCAAGCCCAGCGATCAAGTCAAGCGAGTCAAAATGATGAGGCATCAAAGGCGGTCAAGTCACATGTCATTCCTATATAACTTTGCTAGGCGGGTGGCAGTTGCCAGGCCGTCTAGGCAGTTTGTGAAGCAAGTCAAGTCTCCAAACGTTCGGGTTCATAGTGATCGGCTGTCCCGGGCCTTACACTGCAAGAGCTCGGTTGAAGAGCTCGAGCCAGACAATCCTTTGCGATCATGAGCTGAGCCTCAGCCCTGGAGCACTTTCAATTCGAGCCCGTATGCCTTGCAGGCATTTCACCGACAGCAGAGGTGCTTTTGAGCTATTGGCCAACCCAGCCCAAGGACCCAACCCTCGATCCCAGGCTCCCAGCCTTTCAGGTCACTAGGCCACGATACCTTTGGGAGTGCAGTCGTTGCAAAAACACAGACATGTACTACAATTTGCTCAAAAACGACATGCCCTACTGTGAGCGATTCTTCAATTCAACGAACTTACGACGTTCGCATGGATCCACTACAGAAGCCCGCCTGTTTCGCTGCTGCATCTATTTCAGTTTCGCTGCCTCTTGGCCCACGTTGTTCAACCTGCTCAAAACACAGCTTCAGACCCTGGGTTTTCCCTTTCCTATATAACTTCGATTGTTCAAGGGCCGGACATCGCCGAGCTGCCAGTTGCCTCTGCTGTCGTCACTCCACATGTTGAGATGTGTGACGCGGCGAAAGAGCTATCAACCAAAAACCTTGCAGACTCCCTGCATGCGACGGATACAAAAAGCAAGCTCAGGGCTCCGGAGGGATCCCGTGATCGAGCTGAGAGCTGCTGGTTCTTGAGGGCATCTTGTCTTCGTCAGCCCTTCATGCCCGAGAGAAGGAGGTAGAGACGGGGAGGCAGACAAAGAGACATAGAAAGAGAGAGAGAGAGAGAGGCCCACGGGCCAGGGTCTCCCCGGAGGCCCACACCCCTCAGCAAGCAAGCAAGAGAGGAAACCCCCAAGCAAGCAAGCGAGCACAAGCGAGAGAGGGGTTTTTGGACCACTGCAGCAAGTGGAAGACTTGAGGAAGTATATGTTTGCGGCTTTTGATTGAGGGTTTCCGTATGGACACTTCAGAGCCATGCACTCACTTCTGGCAGGCACCGCTTTCTCAAAACCGCTTTCGCTCTGAGCCGTATGGCATGTATGGGCAAAGGTTCGGCTGAGAGCTGCGATCTGCACTCGGTAATCACCAGGACCAGCCTGTTCCAAGCAAACTTCTCAACTACATAACCGTCAGGTGGATGTACCGTTAAAGTTTAGAGAACAAACGCCCGAAACAAGACGACAGCCCCTCGAAAGACGATCCGCACTCAAGACTTGGTCTCGTGCCGCGTTTCAGGAGGTTGCCCTGCGAGCTACGACCCGCAAAAGAAGCCCGGAGCGAGTTTGCAGGTGATTGCAGCCGGCTGTGAAGGCCCCATTTTGCACCTTAAGCGATGTCTTTTAACAGGGTGCCTTCGTCCCAATCCCACGCACAAGCCATGTATACTTGTCACTCTTCGCATATTGGGCTTGGTTGTTGCTAGCATGGTCGACAAGCCAAGCTTGTGTCGTGCGGGCATCGGGCTGTTTGTGGAATGCCTGCACAAAGTCACTTTTCCCCTAGCTTCCGGACAGTGAAATGCCAGCTCCCCAACTTGCGGCCCTCTCGCTAGCAATCTTCAGTCCTACTGCTTTCGAGTTCTGTGTAAGATATGCAAGTAATGTAAGGCCGTTGAGACTTTGAAGCATCGCGCCGGTCCGTCTCCACCAACTCACCGACGCAGTATTCCTGCAATTGTCCCGTGAAACATGCCTCCGGCAATGCCGGATAGGCGGGCATGATGCAAGAGTTTATGCGGGCCATGCTGGCTGGTCGACGTGTGTGTGTGTGTGTGTGTGTGTGTGTGTTTGTGTTTTCCTGTGGAAACTTTGACTGCCACGAGGTCGATCAGCTTGTTAGCATTTTCATGGCTGCATTGGTGTTGCAACCGCCGCTTTCGGTTCCATCGACCCATGCTTACAGCGCCGACAATCGGCGAAGGCAAGAGGGCACAGACTAAGTGCTGCCAGGATCTGCCAGGGACTTGTGTGCTTTTCCCCTTTCACTTGGTCCCTGGCTGTCGTTAGGCTCCGGCACATATCTTGTGTGCGACGGAGATCCAGGAAAATGCAGCGCCTGGGCTCAACCTGCCTTGTTGCATGGACTGTTCGCAACGAAGGCATTGCCTGGGTGGGTGTATGTATATTAGATATATATATATATATATATACCCACACACATATACGTCTCTCTCGCTCTCTGTCTCTCGCTCGTAGCGTCCATGTATATTCTGCATCCTATCCACCGGCAGCACCCCCTGGAGCACCCAAGGCAGATTAGCACCCTGGTCGCCGTTCTGGCATTTCTGGCCCAGGGGGCAGTGGGCATCGTCGCCAACTCGCACCCTGGAAAAACCCTGTTGTTGCGTCTCAGTCCTAGAACGTTTGCCGACTGCTTTGGGTTAGAGCCACCAGTGGATGTGCGTTTTGTTCCGTCCGGGGCCTTTTGACTCCGATAGTACTCAGCTACTTGGAACTACTTGGTTTCTGGACCCTGGTTCACTCCACGGCTTGGGTTCGGTTAGGCTTAAGAGAGACGGACCAACTTGGTTTCAACTTGAAGTGTTGGCGGCTGGTTGTGGGGGTGCGATTCGGCCGGAGCCGGTCAAAGGATTTTTCCAAGAGGTGCTAGATGAGCCTTGGACACAAGTGGGGGGGGGGCAACCCTTCTCTATGAGATTATGAGATACCTTCTGTGAGAGCAGAACGGCTGCTGCCTTTGCTGCTATCGTGCCAATGAGTCATGTTGAGGCGATTTCAAGGTTGCTCCCGATTCGGATGTAACAGGGATGTATAATCTGGGTGAGCTCTTGTTTCGGGATGCTGCCTCCGTTCGATCGGAGAGGTGTCCTGCAATAATAGCATGCGTGTCGCGATGGTACCCGGAACCATGAAGTCCCATTTTATCCCATTTTACAAACTCTATACACAGACGTGCTCAGTAGATCTCACTGCCACTTCCAAACTGAGGCAGGCGCTGGGCGTTCGAAACCTACCCCAGGGCAAGAATGGCTTGCCGCTTTTTGGTGGCATTTCTTCCCTGTTCTTGTTCTTGTTCCTGTGGTGGTGGTGGTGGTGGTGGTGGTGGTGGTGGTGGTGGTGGTGGTGGTGGTGGTGGTGGTGGTGGTGGTGGTGGTGGTGGTGGTGGTGGTGGTGGTGGTGGTGGTGGTGGCGGTGGTGGTGGTGGTGGTGGTGGTGGTGGTGGTGGTGGTGGTGGTGGTGGTGGTGGTGTGGTGGTGGTGGTGGTGGTGGTGGTGGTGGTGGTGGTGGTGGTGGTGGTGGTGGTGGTGGTGGTGGTGGTGGTGGTGGTGGTGGTGGTGGTGTGGTGGTGGTGTGGTGGTTGGTGGTGGTGGTGGTGGTGGTGGCTGGTGGTGGTGGTGGTGGTGGTGGTGGTGGTGGTTGGTGGTGTTGGTGGTGGTGGTGGTGGTGGTGGTGGTGGTGGTGGCGGTGGTGGTGGTGGTGGTGGTGGCGGCGGCGGCGGTGGTGGTGGTGGAGGAGGTGGAGGAGGAGCTGGTGGTGGTGGTGGTCGTCGTGGTCGTGGTGGTGCTGGTGCTGGTGCTGGTGCTGGTGCTGGTGGTCGTGGTCGTGGTCGTGGTCGTGGTCGTGGTCGTGGTGGTCGTGGTCGTGGCAGCGGCAGCGGTGGCGGTGGCGGTGGTCGTGGTGCTGCAGTAGAAGAAGACAACCACATCGACGACTGCTCTTGTTACTGGTACTGCTACTACTGCTGTTTCCACTGCCACTATTTCCGCAACTGCTGCACCTCCTCGTCATCTTCCTGCTACTACTGCCACTGCTACTGCTACTCCTTCTACTGCACTACTCGGACGACTGTGGTACTGCTCTATTTATATTCATACCACGACTACCGTGTTAAGACCGACTACCACGGCTGTTGCCCTGCTGTTGTTGGGGCTCTTGTTTTGTTAGCGGTATTTCGATGTATTTCGCTTTCATCTCTCTGGTTTGGACAGCCCGGAAACCGAGGCTTCACGAGGGCCCGAGGCAGAGATCCGGTGCTGTGATGAGACGGCTGCCTTTGTTAGTTCCAGGGTCCGGAGTTCTTTCGGGTTGCAAGTTTGTTAGCTTGGTTTGCTGCTGCCGAAGGCATGTTTGATGTCGCGTTTCACTTCTACCTAGGTCGACATTCGTGCCTGGGCGAAAGTGCTATTGTATTCCAGCACTAGTACTGTACATATATGTATATGCTTGCATGTCTATATATATATATACACACACACACATATATATATATATATACATACATACACACACACATAAATATGTACACCTAAATACAGGAGTACATAGCCGACCTCGACATTCAACCACTTGAGCGGGCTACGCAGATGATAGTTAATAGTTGGCTGAGTATGCAGCACCTACTCGCAACCCTGTCAGAGTTGCAGAAATCTGTAGTCCTGGTTTGATAATTCGTCGCTGGTGGTAGATATGCCTCCGGGTATCCGCCCAATGAGCGGCTCGACTTGTTGAAGCTTAGCCTTGTAGTGGTACGCCTCGCCTGCTGACTGCTCGAACAATATTCTCCCGTTGCATGAATGCCTCGAAAGTTCGCCCGCCTCGAAAGCTTCAAAGCCCGAAAGCAGCGCATCTGCAAAACCTTATTTTCCTGCAGCCTGCGACTAGGCCCAAGTGGCTGGCTCGGCAGGACCATGTGGCATACATCTGTGCTAGCCAGACGACCGTAGACAGAAGCGTGTGTAGGGTGCAGGACGCTGATCAAGCATTTGGGTTTCAGGCTCGTTATTACCACTGAGAAGCTTTATCCTTGAGATCTGCAGCAGGGTGCCCTTGTACTTAAACGCGCCTAAACCCAACGACTTCAAAGAGAGACCTTGAAGGAGCAAGTATAGAGCCCTCAAAGGAACCCTCATGGAACCCTGTACGGGCCCTCACAGAACCCATAGTTTCCGAAGTCCCTAATGTAACCCGACTAACTCTGAAGAAGCCTCAGAGTGTGCAACAACCCTCGAATACATTTTTGGGCGGTTGACAGGACGAGTTGGTCATTGATGCGAGGCCGCAGCAACACAGCGGGATGCATCTTGGCGTCCAATGCATCGGGCGTGCAAAGCAGGATGAGGGCTTGTGAGGGTTCGGGGGGAGGGGTTCGTGTAAAAGCAGGGCCTACGTAGTGACTTCAGCGTCTGCGGTTTAGAGTTTGGTCAAAGATGATTGCAGGTAGTAGTCTGGCTAGGCTTGAGTCCAGTAGCAAAAAATGGACTTGGTGATTTGATGCTCGGTGGCTTCCTTAAACTGCTGCCGAGGCTGATCATGCAGCTGGTGCTGATGGATGCCGGTGGCTACTGGGGTAAGATGCCTCAGGGCTGCAGAAGATTGCAGTGTTGGGAGGGCTTGGAGCTGTTCATGTAGTTTCTGGACTCAGTCGAGGTGTCTTTAGGCAGAGAGGGGTCTTCGATTGGGAGCTCGTTGGCATGACACCATTGCTGTCACGGAGCCCAGTCATGAAAAGCTGCGGTAGAGCGACGCCCAGGAACAAGGATCGTCCCAGATGGCTTCGAGCGATTCTTGCGGCCTGGCCGCTTTGGATTCTGAACAGTTTCAGAATCGCCCTCCCCTCAATCGAAGACCCTGGCGAGCCATCGTAGGAGAAAGAAAGGTTGCTGATGTAAGGTCTCTGGGGCAAGACTTTTTGAGGAGCTGAGCATCTTAAGGTCTGGTAGTTGATGCAGCAATAGCTGGGATTTAGATTCTATAGATTGCTTCCACAGGTGCAAGTTTGGGATCAGCCTGAGGATTGCATCGTTCAGATCGGCTTGCAGTTGGCTGCAGGTTCTGTCGGTTTAACTGGTCAGAAAACTCGGACAGACGTCGCAAACGCAGCTCTTCATTCATTTACTTGAAGACTCAGCCGGTCAAAAGGTTTTGTTACTGATAAGAAAACCGATTCCAATTTCGGGAATAGCTGCATCTTGAGGGGTGAGAGCGATGCCCAGGCAACCAATCGCCACCACGCCAGGACCGCCTTGTTTCTAAGAGTTTGCATCTGAGCTTTAGGTACAAGCTTCGAAAGAGCCGGACTTCGGCCCCTGGGGTCGAGGTTCTTGGCTTAACGGACGTCTTGTGCTCCGGCTTAGCCGGCTTTGCCTCGTCTTTCGGAGGAAACACGGCCACGCCATGGTCATCCGTTGGCGGCCAACTCTGCAGCTGACCGGCTGGCAGCAGCACCAGTGCCTCAGCACTGGCAGCGGGAGAGTCTGGGAGAGCGCGCCGAAGTGACACTGCAGGTAGCGGCAATGGTACGATCGTTGGTCAAAAGCATTCACTTACTCACCCTTTTCACATATTGTCCTTACATTTCGTGTTCGTGGTTGCCGTTGTCTTGGTCTGCCCTCCGTCATTGTCGGCACCAGCTGCACGGCCACAACATGTGTACTCACTCATCGTTCTCATCGAACTGGTCAGATCCCAGGTGTGAGTACGGCAAGAACAGTGTGAAAGACCGGGAGGAGTGCATCAAGCGCAGCTTGGAAAGCAGACCTCCGTTGTGCAAACTCAGCAGGAGTCTGTGGAGCTTTACGGGAAAGTCACTCTGTTTTTGCAGCAAACGTTCGATTCCGTGGCAAGCCTGGGATTCAGAGCAGATATTATTTGTGATTCTTTAAAGGGCCTTTGAGTCAGGCTTACTGTTCGCCTAAGTATGCCCGTTTAAGGATACCAACATCATCTTTCTACTTATCTTTGTAGAGAGAGGTCAACTTTAGCCGCTAGTCGCTCATGAGGCGCCCTCATATAGTAACGAGCCGGTTCCTGGTGCTCCAAGGCTGGGAGAGGGAGAACTTCTGCTGGGAGAAGTTCCCTTTCTTCGTAGCCACTGGGCGGCCAGGAAGAAGCGAGAGGAAGGATTCTGGAATGGTTTTTTCAGACATCTATGACTCTGGCTGCAAGAGTCAGAGTAAGCAGGATCTGTCAGCATCTGCAACCACCAAGCCTGCTGCTCAGGATTACCTGCTCAGCGAGCAGAAGTTCACGCATATGGTGCTTCTTGACGCAGATGCTGCGCTGGTCAGGCGCTGCAAGGGTAGTCTTAGGTGTGCTGGCATCGGTCAAGACACTGGAAGCTCGGGCTTTTGTGATACAAAGTGGGACTCGTAGGGTCAGGGCGCCCCACAGCAAGACTTGCCAAAGATTTGTGAACTGTCACTGGGACGTGGCGTATTCCTTGCGCAGGCGGACGGTTGACGCTTCGTAGACTCTGGCCCATGCGGTGTTGGAGTTTAAGGTGTAGGGTGTATCCACCTGGCTTACAATTTGGGTGCTTCTCGGTCCATTCTGCAATTGGTGCTTCTTTTGGACATCCACATGGGTACTAGTAATGATGAACTTTTGCACCCAATTTATTCGTCCAGACAGATAAATTCTATACCAGGCATAATGTCAACATCCTCGGGGGCATCGCCACACAGATGCAGCAGCAGAACGTGGATGTGCTCCTTGGCTGTTGGTTGATATGTGAGATCTTTCGATGCCATTTCTGCACGGTTCCAAATTCCGAAGCCAGGCTCAACCCTGCAAAGCCCCCAAGCCTCCACATTCCAAGGCTTGGAGCTCTGAGCTCGAATGCCGGAAAACGGCTCATAGTTAGTGTTGGTGTGTGTGTGTGTGTGTGTCTTCGGAAGAGAGAGCGAGAGAGAGAGAGAGAGAGAGAGAGAGAGAGAGAGAGAGAGAGCGAAGAGAGAGTCCTTCGAACCAAACCATGCTGTGAGTATTGAAACCCTTTTTCAGTAAGAAGTTTTGAGCCGACCGTGCTTGATGAGGTTCCTGACCAACGAGGACTGGTTGAAGAATGGTAAGGAGAGGATCAACGGCGGGGTGATCATGGCCCGACCCCTACAGGGCTTCTGGGGTGAGGCGGTGGTAAGATTCGATGGCTTTCTGGAGTTACAGCTGGAGTTTCTTCACTTCGGCAGGGTGTGCTGCACCGCAGTCTGGGGTTGTAGCTGCATCAGACTTTTAATGGGGCGCATGAAGCCCGAGGTTTACTCTAACTAAGTGATAATCCTTAGCCGGGCAATCCGGAATTTATCTCTCCACCCTGAGCCCTGAGAGCTCTCATGCTCCATGTACAACTCTTGAGAAGCCCCGAAGCCGGTCACTGGGCTTTTTGAGGCTGCTTTAGGAGAACATGTCGGGATTTGTCATGCACAGATCCGAGATGAGGCTGAAGGTTCGTGGAGTAGACTTAGGCTTTGGGATGTTGGACTCAGAGCCTGTCGGACTCATCCCGAGCACCAAGATGTCGGAACAAGCCTGTGCACCAAGGCCAGAAACTCAAAGTGGGCTGAAGACATGTTCCAGGCAAGCTCTCTGACACGTTGTTGGAAGCTTCTTATGTTTTCTGCATGTGGCTTAGGACCGAGCCGCAGGATTCCTGCACGGCTGCTCTGTAATGTAGGGCTGGCTCTCATTGATGATGCTCTTGTTTTTGCTGTGGTTGCTCCGACACGGCCTCTTGAACGCATTGAAAGCTTTCTATGGAGCAAGGCCGTGGATTCGCCCCCTGCGGCCCAGAAGCTCCCAGCCTCAAAATCCGGCTGCAGGGCACGGTTTGTCCCAAGACTCAAGACAAAACCTTCAAAACCCAAGTGATTGCAGAGGCCCCGAGGTCTGAGGCCTCAAAGCCCGAGTGTCTTGCACCCCAAACTCTACTAAACCCAAATCTTCCAATCCCTAAGTAGGAGGAGGAAAGAAACCCAAACCCCTGAAACTTCGAAGTCTCGGAGGATACCTGGGATGCACATCGCCTCGGTCCAGAAACGCCGAAGGAATGGCGCATCGGGGTGCCTCGAGCTGAACGCGTCTCCTTACAGGGTCCAGCTGTTCCCTGAACAAAGCTTACGGGGCTCCAGACTCTGCGATGCTTTGGACTTCTTGCTGGCCTTTGTTCCCTAAAACCTGCATGCCACCCAGAGCTGTCTACCAAGAAACCTGGAAGCATCAGGTCATGCGAAAACAGTGTGGGCCTGCATTATTAGGGCGATTTTCTGCATGCACAATTGCTACGTCAAGGATATCACCTTATAAACGAGGGCGCCGAGTCGTGCAGAAATCTGTCTTCCGGACTTAATCGAACCGATGTGGCTTTAATTCGATCCCGTGCTGCAGAAGACGGGCGTCCTGTGCATGAGCAACGAGCAGATGCCTGGCCAAGAAGTGCTTTAAGGTTCTTTACTTCAGGGTTGAGGGTATTGGCATTTTAGTTGTTGGAAGTAGAAAGGCACTCATTGAATCGAACTAAAATCGCGCATCTGGTCGCTCGATGACTCACTGGTTCTCTGGAGCGGCAGTCATCCTCATCATGGAGATTGTAGCATGATGTTGCACTTGATTCGGCCCCATGCGGCCGAACTATTTCTGTGGATGCATGGCTTCTGGCTGCTTGCAGGGAGCTAGCTGCATGGGTCCTGAGGGCTGCATTTTGAGTTCGTTATACGTGAGCTACATGAAAGCCGACCTAGAGCGCTCTAGTGATCTTCGGTCAGAATGCTTGCGACTCGAGTTCAGGAGGATGATTAATGGTTATGTTTAGTTCGAACTCACAGCAAGAAACAATGACCACCTTTGCAGGCACCCCTGTCCATGTCGCCCATGGCTTGCCGAGGATTTGTCTCAACGACTTGTGGCTGTGTCGCAAGTTCAGCCTCTGACCCGAAGTGCTGACCTTGTCCTAAGACATCTGATACCGGAGATCTGGAGAACCCGGACAACGTGAATATGACATGTTCAGCTTTCTTTTTTTCTCTGACCATTGTTATTGCCACCGGCACTTGTCACCTTCACGGCCACTATACCTTACGTTATTCTCATGCGTATATCAATTTTGGACAGCCAGTCCATGCCAGTCCGCGAGCCTGCAAGGTTCTACGGCCCTGGCCGCAAGCTGATTCAGGGGCACATGGCCTTCGAGAGCGGCATCGTCTACAATCGCCCCTTGCTGGCGACAAGCAAGGGTGGCAGCCGATTGCATCGAATGCCACCTGCAAAGCTGTAAGTTCGGTAGGGCATAGATGATTTCCATGCGAACATTTGCGCCTTCTATAGCAGAAGTCGCCGGGAATGATTGATACTGTTACTTGTAGCTGCTGGTCAGGAAATCTGCTGATGTTTGAGTGTTTGGTAGGCCTTCGTCGTTGAGTTGGTGCATGCGCCAAAAAGCCCAAAACCACCCTGTGCACCCAACAGCCCTTCATCGCTAACCCAAAAACGCCGAGTTGCGGGATCGAAGGTTAAATACGCAGGTTGAGGCATAGCGCCTGTCATACCTGGAGCCATTTTATGGCAATCATGCTTTAGGGATTGGATGGAGCAATTGAATCGGAAGCAGGTTCTGAAATTTGTGGAAAGATACTGTGCGTCGCTGGTGAAGTTCGTGAGATGTGGCTGGAAGTGGGAGGTGGGCGGGGGCAGGGGCGGGGGGGACAAACACCCAGCTCGACCATTCCATCGACGCTGCAATTTTGTAGGTAACTGGCCATCCTTCATCCGAGCTTGAGGCGGCGGCTGCACCTTGCGGCACTGTTTCGAGCCGATCTCAGACAAGTCTATGGAGGCGGCTGCGGGTTGGGAGACTTCGTTTTCTTCGATTAGTAGTCGTAGTCGTCTCGTCGTAGTCGTACCACTCAAATCTGCATCCACAGTGATAGTGGTAAACACCGTAGTTCCCACTCTATACGACAACTTGCTATTGTGACTACACAGCGAATTGCAAGTTGTTTTAGTTTGGGCTTTGGCTTTGGCCCGAGAATTTCTAGATGTGCATTTAACAAATTTGCACAAAACAACTGCCAAGGCTTTGTGTAGCTCCATGCTGCTTCTGGTAACTGCGGCTGCTGTGCCATGCGGCAGCAGTCTGTTCATGCGAGGACTTGCGCTTGAATGATGACCGGCTGCAGATCGTCCACTTCATGGGTGGCCTGGCCATGCCCTACTCTCTTCGCCCCTGCTGGTGTCCGTGTTCGTGCGTGGGGCTCCTAGAAACACAGAAGTAGCAGCCGAAACGAAATCTGCAAAGCCGCGAAACCTTTAAACCCGACCTCATGAAGCCGTGCCTGCAAGAGTCGAAACCTCAGAAAAGTGGGCGATCGCCGACAGATTTAGAATCCTTCACCGTCCGAAGCCTGAACGGCAAAGCCATAAACATCGTGATCAATCTTGAGACCCGTATTTTGTTCATCTTTCCAAGGTGGAAGCAAAGGCTTCGCCCCAGAAGTCCTTTGCGACGAGGGCCAAAACTTTACCGGCGAAGACCACGAGGTCGCTGGCGACGAGGAATTGAGGTTATTGAGCGTTATTTTCGAGGGGGGGTTTTCGGATTTAGTGAAATTCAGTCAGCGGTTAATGTAGTTAGGGGGTCGTTTATCTTGCTTGGCTGAATCATTCTTCACTTCGGGATCCTTGGGCAAATAATGCAGACCCCTGATTCACGAACCCCCTTCCATTGAGGCCCACAAGCTAAGACTACTGCTCTAACCTCCCTTGGCTTGTCGGGAGTTAGTGCCGAACGCCTGAACATTGAAAGTCAGACATACCTTGCCAGGAAGCAGCTCCAGCCCTATTTCCGAAACCCAAACCAAGCAATGTAGTTTTGTGTTGCGATGCAAGCAGTATCCTGGCTATGCGGGAGGCCAGGAAAACCCTTAAACCCCAAAACATTGCTGTGCCTTGCTTCTGGTAGATGTCGTGCCGTCAAGAATCCTCGTTGGGTCGACCTTTCGAGGACGGATGGAATCCCCAGCCATGAAACAGTCATGAAACCTTGAATTTGGATGGAGAGAGGAATGGGCGTTACACCCTGTTCTTTCCATGAGAGCAGACGTGAAGGTCAAGCTCCGCGAAAACGTCACTTAAGAAGCCACCCTTGTCGACCAACCTTGCCTCTTGCAAAGTACAGGGCCCTGGTTTCGAAATTTGAGTCATGAGCCCGCATGCAGGGCTACGGCTGCCGCAAGTGAGAAAAGCGGATCTGTGATTCGCTGGAAGGCTCGTCGTTGAAAGTGCTTGCACCCACTGGTTGGGACTGACAATCTTGCCTGAGCGCCCTGCACGCCCGAATGATAATGAATGCCCAATCCGGGGTTGTTGTGAAGCCTTGCTTGCCCTGTGTGAGGGTGAGAGTCGAAACCGAGCCTCACAGGCTACGAGGCCCACCACCTCGAGGCTGCTAAGCCTGCACAGTCAGTGCATTCCGGAGAAAACGGTGACGTGGGAGTGCAACGGACGACCCCTGAACCTAAGTAGCTCCCAAGCTTCTGTTCAGACGCACCCCCAATCAAAAGGCCAGCCCAGTCGATAGAGCAGGGCCTCAACACAAATGATGTCGTGAACCACCCCTGAGCCCCCGCCCGAAAAAAATATCGAGAGCACAATTCACAACTCCAGATAAGCTTCCGCTCTTTTTGTCTCTCGCGCTCTCCCTCTCTTGCTCTCTCGCTCTCTCTCTCTCGCTCTCTCTCTCTCTCTCTCTCTTCTCATGGGTCCGTCGAAAAATTAGGTATAGGAGCGATAAATGACCGTGCCCTTATGTTCGAAAACTCCCAAATTTGCAGTGCCTCTGAAAACAGCGCACTAAATGCCCGCACTCACGGAATGGGTCTCTTTGTTGAAATATCTGGGAAAACCCAGCAGCAAATAGAAGACGATGGTCTCGGAAATCTGTGCTTCAACAGCTTGGCTCGCCGAGGCACTTCTTCTGAAGAAGCTCTAAGTCCTCGAGTCCATGGGTCTAAGGTTGAGGGGGATTGAAGTCCAGGGTCCAACTTCCGGGCGAAGTAGCAAGCCTGTTGCAAAAGCTCCAAAGCCTGAAGCCTGCACAAACACTGCGAAGCATGTCACATGACGTCGCAGAGCCTCCCTAGAATCGTGCTGAACAAGTGCCCACATGCAAAACCCATGTGGGCTCCACTTGGAAACACGATAGCGCTGACAATGTCCATCTACAGTCCGAGCAAGTTCGGGAAACGTCTGACCTGCCCCGACGCCTCTATGCCTGTCCGCGGCGCGGTCGGCCGGCGCCTGCCTCAGGATGAAACCGAGCATAAGCGGGATAGTGCCATCTGTTATGGTTCGAAGGACTGGACACCATTCTTGGTCAAGTATGAGATTCCTTCGTGTGTCTCGTGGGCTTACATTCTTCGAGCAGGTCGCCATCGCTGTGCGAGAGTACCGTGAGAGCGAAGCGTCTCGAGGCAGCTTCAAGCCTTGTATCTTGAATCTTCCCTGACCGCAGCCAGTTAGTGGCTCCCGGTGAGTTTGCACTGGTGTTTTTGCGGAGAGTGTACGCTTAAAAGCTGCAACCAGGCACCTTGCACTCCACACATGCAAACATGTCGTATGGCTCCTTGCTCGGGGTTGGGTAGGGGCGATCGCTTCTAGTTAGAGTTTTCTTCGAGGAGCACGAGGAACATCCAACACGAAGGTGACCAGCAGTGGCATAGCGCTGCAAAGACTTAGAAATAAGCCTACGTACCACCCTGGACTGTTATAGCGTGAGCTTTTGACAACAGCCACTGCTTGCTGCCGCTTGCGCTTCATCCAGGACTCATGCTGCACATGCTCTCTCCTGTTCATTGAAATGTCGGTCGAGTTGCACGAACTCAGTGAAATCGTGTGGTGGAGACCCTAAACCGGAAAAGGATTTGTGCTTGTTCGTGGTTGATCCCTCTCTGAGGTCATTGTACTAATTCCACTATGGTACTTCCTTTTTGGGGCCGGTCGTTGTGAGACATTGCCTGCATTGCACCAGCGCGATAGTCGGAAAGGGTTTTGCGAGTTTGTGAAGTCCACAAATCCTAGCCTAGACCGTATAATTTGCTTTGGTTCGGCGCCGGGCTTGCTACATCCGTCACCCGCAACCTGGGTTTGCCGCCCAAAACAATCTAAAGCCATGGAAAGCAATGAAAGAGCCAGAGAGATCTCGAGTTCCTGAGACGGGTCTTGATACATCCCACAGTACACTTCTCAAGGTCCAGTTCCTAGACCCAGAATTGGCCCATAGCTAAGCAGCCCCTTCGACTCCAAAACCACTACGCAATTCTTCTGAGACGGCCCCATGACACAAAGCAGTACTGGGCTCGTACCTCCCTGAAAAAACTAGGGGGCTGGTTGAAAAGGATGGTGCTTGCAGTGTCGACGGCGCTGGCGTCCAAGCACATGCATCTGGGACATTGAAGTCGTGGCGTAGCTGGTTATAGAGTGCAACGCTACTGTATGGCTTACAGCTTCGGGCTTCGATTTTGGCAGGGTTTCCTAGCAGCGGGTTTCCACATGTCCACATCTGTAGTCCTTTTGCTCTGTCGTCTGTCCAGAATCAGAACCGCAGAACCGAGATCCACAGACTTCAGAAAGGGAGTGAGCCCTGTGCTTCTGAGTTAACCCTAAGCCCTAAGCACTGCCCATGAAACCGGCGGAGCTCCGGGCTTACTTTAGGGGCGTAAATAACATTAGCTGTCATGTACTGTTTTGGGGGCTCCTTATTATGGTTAGAGTATTATATACCCCAAAGCCTATTCTAATTAAGGCCCCTACATGACGCACACTAGATCCAGGGCCGCGGACATGGATGACGACATTGATGCCACAGCGAGCCTCCTGACTTGTTCTTGGTGCACAGCGTGCCGTCCTCACGGCACTTAATAAGTTTGCTGTAGCCTTAATAATCCTTTCCTGCTGCAGCTCGTGTTATACGGGCTGGTAGGTAGTAGGGTTGAAGACAACTTCGGATTTCTGCGTTCAGTTCACCACCGCTGCTTGTGCCATTGCTTCCGTCCTTGTGGTTATTGTTGTCGCTATGCACCCAGGCTCGAGGGTAGCATCGAGCGGATGCCCAAATAAGGATATGCTTGCGGTAGTAAGCATCGCCTTCAGTCGCGGCAATACGGTAATACGAGCACGAGTTAGTAATTAGAAGTGATGGTTGACAGCAAAACTAGTACAGTCCTGCTGTAGCAGTTAATGGTGAGAAGCATGGAGACATGCACTATAAAAGTGTTGTTTACTTCAACTTTTATGTGCTATGTTATATGATATTCTGATCTAGTTCCTGCACGAACTTACCTTTCAATCCGTTTATCTACATACCGATCTATCTGCCTAACTAGTGCATCTGTCCATCCGTCCTTCCATCTGTCCATCTACCATCGATGGACTGTCTTGTCCCGCATATCGTGTTGTGGTGCCTACGAGGTTTACTGTGAACTGGTGGCCTTTGCCGCAGGCTACGGCCAGTCGGGAACAAAGGCACAACAACGTAGACATCCAGAGCACCTTCAGCACATTCCTGAAAATTCCTCCTCGTCTTCATTTAACTTCCTCTCCAAATGTAGTACTCCTTGGCCGTTGTGCTTGTCATGATCCGCATCATCACTGTCGTCATCGCCGTAGCAATTTAGATGACCGTGTTCCCCATCATGAGCCTGCTATCATTCACAGCACCACCACTAAAATACACCTCCGGGACCAGCTCCCGCAGCGCAGAGGCCCACGCCTGTATCGACGGAGCGAGAGCAAGGGTGTCAGTGCCATAACGCACCCGTGGCGGCGCAAGGCGACTGTGCAGTATGGATCTTCCATGGGGTGTCCCTCAGAGATGAAGTTGCGAGCAGGATAGTAAGTATGTATGTCCTTACAATACACAATATCAATATATATATATATATATATATACATGTGTGTATATTTATTTGTTTTTCTATTTATCTGTTTTAGAGAACAATGTTTTTTCGTGAGACTTGAGAATGTTTGCGCTGGCGAGTCACTACTTTATCGAGCCCTGTCTTCGGGTTGTGAGTCCTGCTTAGAAGTTTCAGCAGGGAAGACGGACGAATACTACGACGACCGGTTGCTACTACCAGTACTACTACCAATGCTGCTACCCATTACAGTTACTACTACTACTACTACTACTCCTCCTACTACTACTACTACTACTACTACTACTACTACTACACTCCTACCGCTACCGCTACCGCCACCACGACCACTACCGCTACCACCACCACTACCACGACGACTGCCTGCCACTACCACTATTACGACGACGACTACGACTACTACTACTGCTACTACTACTACTACCACTACCACTACCACTACCACTACCACTCCTGCTACTGCTACTACCGTAGCCATTTTGACTCAATATTTTCTATTTGTGCTCTCGCCATGGAGCCTCTCCGAAATTCCATTTCTCGGCATGCAGAGCCATTTGCGAGTCCCTTCACAGAGACGGACATTTGATCTCGTCCGGAACCTGTCAACGAAGACAGAGTACACCTTCCTGGAGGATCCAGTACCAAATCCCATCGCTGGGATCTGCCTCGTCGAAACACTGGCTTTCAACATGCTAGCCAAATTTTTACGGCGAACAGAAGACACTGGATGCATGCTACGGCTGCTCAAAAGGCATCTTCTACACTGAGAAGTGGATTGAGGACTTGTTGAAAGGACGCGCCCGTGTTCCATCTTCGAAGCCTCCTGATTACTTCGCTGTATATGAAGAAGTTTGGAGCCGAATGAAGCATGTCAAGGCAACCAGTCTTGACTTTATGGCTGAGCTGAACAAAGTTGAGTTTAATCCCACCGCCAGCTCCAGCTTTGAATGCGGAGAGAAGGTATGGCGCGGGCCCGTTGAAAGCCAGTGCCTACTTCACATTCTCCTTTAACTTGTAATATAAAACCTGCATGCGGCACTGCACAGGTCGCTGAGTGAGACACCTTGCGCACCTTGCCGTCTGGCATATCTGCTTTGGTTTGCGGTCATCCAGTGAGCCTTCGCTTAAGGGTTTTTTCACCAAACTGATGTTTGTTTCAAACATTCACATCCTGGGGTCCAAGTCCGATCCCCTGACTGACATCAACATCGTTGATGAAGAACTGTCGCACAGCGCAGAAGACTTGCAAATCAGATCCAGGTCCAGAGAGCCTGCTGAGTGGTTGTTCGGTTGTTTATCGACACGCTGTTACTTTGTGTGTTTGTATCGCAGGCCCTGTCGTGACTAGTTACCAGTGTAGTCCACGCGGAGCTGTCATTTGCATGCCATGACACACACTACTACTACGACAACTATAACCACTACTACTCCCACTCTTACCAGTCTCTTGCTCCATCTCCTACTGTTACTTCTACTCCTACTACTACTGCTAATGTGGGTGTCGGTTTAGTAGTGGGGTACACCCCCCCCCCCGACCAAAAAAAAAATTCACTTTAGTATGGCGCCGGTGACGCCGGACAGGGGTCAGGGGTCTGAGTGGCAGGGAATTGGGAGGTGCCGGGGTTTGGGGGCTGGCTTGGGTGCAGGGTCTGCGGTTCTGCGCGAATGCGCGGTCGGGGGTCGGGGGGGTCTGGGGATCACCAAATGCTGGAAACCAAGCACCGATCACTCCAAGACTACTACCAAGACTAAAAACCCTTCATTTTGTTTTTTTTGCTTCCGTAACCTACACTCCCACACTCCCACCCACAATCGACCACGTATGAAGCTTGGTGCGGTGCAATAATAGTACAGTAGTACAATAGTAGTACAGTAGAAATAATACAGTAGTAGTACAGTAGTAGTACAATAATAGTGCAGTAGCACAATAGTAATACAACAGTAGTACAGTGGTAGTACAATAGTAGTCCAGTAGTAGTACAATAATAGTAGAGTAGTACAATAGTAGCACAATAGTAGTACAGTAGTAGTATAATAATAGTGCAGTAGTGCAATAGTAATACAACAGTAGTACAGTGGAAGTACAATAGTAGTACAGTAGTAGTACAATAATAGTACAGTAGTACAACAGTAGCACAATAGTAGTACAGTTGTAGTACGATTATAGTACCGTAGTACAATAATAGTACAGTAGTAGTACAGTAGTAGTACAATAATAGTGCAGTAGTACAATAGTAATACAACAGTAGTACAGTGGTAGTACAATAGTGCCACAGTAGTAGTACGATAATAGTACAGTAGAACAATAGTAGTACAGTAGTACAGTAGTACTACAGTAATAGTACAGAAATAGTACCAATAAGCAAAGCATAAAGCCAGTGAGCACATTCCCCCAATAAACAAAGCATAAAGCCAGCGCCTGAAACCCTAAACCCTGAACCCTAAACCTTAACAAACCCCAAACCCTAACGAATCCTAAACTCCTAAACCCTATAAGAAACCCTAAGCCCGAAGCCCTAAACCCTTCCAAAGGGGGGTCGGTCCAGATTCGACCCAAAACTTAATTTTTTATACAAACTTTAGTACTGGAGAGGCCTCTTTTGAGCTGGGGTCCAATCCCCGATTCGGCGGTTCACCCTAGCAGCCCCCCCCAATAATCGAGGTATAGTAGAATAGTAGTACAGTAGTAGTACAGATTTTCATTCCTGACGCCCCAATAAGCGAAACAATTCTGCAAGAGATTTTCGGGCTTCAGGGCCAGGGTTTTAGGGTTGGGTAGGGGTTTGGGTGGGGGTTTAGGTCGTGGCTGCCTTAAGATTGACCATCAGCAAACAGCACAGCCCCCCCACCAAAAAAACCCACCCAGCCAAAAAAAAACGCATTAATTAGTACCCCAAAAATTTTACTCGGATTCGGAATTAGCACCCAAAAAAACGCATTAAAGGAGCCGATATTCCTAAACCGACACCCACATTACTAATGCTACTACAGTACTACGGCTACTGCTGCCGCTGCTATTAATTGCTGCTGCTGCTGCTAGTGCTGCTACTACTGCCCCTGCCACAGCCATTGCCAACAGCTACCCCCACTTCTTCCACAAGTACCACTACAGAGACCACAACTACTTCCCGTTTGCTGGTGCCAAGCTTCCACTTACCACGATTGCTTTCCAGCGCTAGCATCACCGCTTTCGCTAGCATTTTCACATTCCTGACACTCACTAGTAGTAGACTACTAGTGCTATGACCACTATCACCACGACTATCCAGTCGGACTGTCACCACTAGTACGACGACTACTACTGCCGTTCCCACTACGACGACGACTACTACTGCTACTACTACTTATCATGCCATCCGCCGTTCGGTTGTGAACGGTTTTTCTTGCACAGCTCGGCAATAAAGCCGATATTGATAAGAAGACTCGCATAGGAGGATGGATAGCAGCGTTTAATGCAAACACATGCAATATGCAATCGCATGGGCAAGCATAGCAATCATGGCATAAACTGTTACCGGTATTGCGGGCAACAGCTTGCCAAATTCTTCTGTCCCAAACTCCCGCATCCAACGGATAAGCTGTGATCTTGTGACACTACTATCGTCTAAAACCCACCAAGAACATCTGAAACCCTTACGCCAAGCTCCAACTCCAGATGGCGGAAATGTTCAAGTCGTCGAAGCTCGAAATTCTGATTGGGCTGATCATTAGCAACTTGCTTCAAAGGGTTGGAACATATGTGGGTGATTCTTCTGACCGGTTTTCGGATTGGATCTTGGATTGTGTTTTCTTACGTGTTGATGCATGTGCTACCCTGCATGAGCGACACCCATGCGCAGTCGCGGGACCATCATGGCAGCAGCGTATATCCGTCATTCATGAGGTTGTCAACCGTCAAAAGAGTTTTTCCGGAGATAAGCAGTTCCGCATTGGGCACGGGAGTTCGGTGTCGAAATATACGAGTTTCTGATGTCGTCATATATCACAGCATATATTGTGCTCAGAGTACAATTGCTTCGGAAATGCTATACTTGGACGACACATGTTGCAACGTCGCTTTGACTCTGGTTCTTCAGACTCACTAGTATCCATTCATCCCGGGCTGAGCATGCAAAAGGGCCCCCAGAATCCAAGCAACAAGTCATGCCCCTTAAAGGGCAGCTTGAGAAAAAAGTGTCCGCAATAGCATCCTGAGCGGCTGAACCTCATGCATTGCCGGGAACTGCTAGAGCCTCTGGATGCGATGGCAGAGAGAGAGAGAGAGAGAGAGTAGCATCCTTCTGCCCCTCGGCACTTCAAAGAGCGGTGTAGAGCGGTTCGAAGGCAGGAGACCATGAGAGGTCAATTGCTCACCCTCCTGAATTTCGTTTCTTCGGCTTCGGCTTCAAGCCTTTGCCCTTGCTTCAGTCCTCGGACAAGACGTAGGTCAGGGACCTCAAGAACTTGAAGCGTTCTGCGGTGTTTAGACGTCTCCTCCCCAGGTAGCAACATGGTCAGGTGCTCAGCCGGGGCAGTCGCTTAACTCGCGAGTGCCGAAAGGCCACTTCGCGAGAGGCAGCTTCAGGGTCTTCATGCATGCCTTGACTGACTTTTTAAACACACACACACAGATATATATATATATATATATATAAATAAATAGAGGGCTTGTTCTGAATTCGTCCTCTGGCCGCCATGAACCGGGGTTGGAAAGGCCATTAGGGGCTGCAGGTTCCTTTTCAGGCAAATTCCTGCGGTCTTTACTTTGGTGCTGCGACAGCATGTTCCTGAAGGCTCGGTAGTGCATTTCGATCGTCGTCAAGGCGCTTGAACTGCGATGAAGGTTTGTGGCGAACCGCTTTGACGCCGAGCCAAAATTGCAATAAACTGTATCCAACAAGTTCGAGACTGCGGATCGCAAAGGTCTCCCAAGGTTGATTTGTTTTCCTGTCTCACTCTCTCACTCTTTGTCTCTTTCTCTCTCTCCCTCTCTCCCACTCTCTCCCTCTCTCTCTCTCTCTCTCTCTCCCTCCCTCCCTCCCTCCCTCTGTATCTTAGAAGCAACCAGCGAAAAGAATCTCCTGCACTGAGGTGGTTGTGATTTTAGAGACGGATGCAACAGCGGATGACCAAGCAGCACCCCTGTGGATGCGAATCGCGTGGCTTGGACGCATAATGAGACTTGAAATGAGCAGGTTCGCGCTCTCAAGCGCCCGCCAGAGAGAACACATCAGGGGTTTATGGTGTGCGGTGGGTGAAGTTGGCGACTGTGTTTTGCGGGCTTTTCTCCTCCGTGGATGGAGGGAGTCGGAAGGGGCTCATTCATCTCACCCATGGTACATGAAACCTTGGTCCCAAATCCTAGACGTTGACAGCCCTTCAAGTCTTCCAGGAATTGGGGATTTTTGGCGGCCGCTCGACTGAAATTTGGGGCTCCGAAGAGCCAACGCGTCAGCGGACTCTGGACTTGTGAGTCAATGCTTTTGGGATGCTTTCTCCAGGACTTGAGCCTGTGACAGAAGGATTCGATCAACTATTCACTGGTTATCACGAGTTCGTCATTAAATGACTTTAGCATTTTCGTCATGACAGCCTCCATACACAGCATACTAGATAAGAAAAGTCATCCACTACCCCCAAACCCAATTCTAATTCTTGAGGCCTCTATGGTAGCTCGGGTTCGCGAGTTCGCCTTTTCGGCTACTAGCTGGAAGTCAGAGAGTTGTCAATCTGCCCAAAGCATACCCGCGACATGTCCTTGGATTGAGGGGCTAGGAAATCGTGGGCGCTGAGGGGATCAAACTGAGCCGCCCTGATATCTCGTCTGTGAGGTTCGAGGTGGTGGTTAATGCGTGGAATATTTATGTAAGGCACCCTGCGAGCTAGCGCGTACATAAGATCGTGTCTGTGTTGAGCCTTTAAGCCTAGTCCCGAAAAGCCTTCACCAGCGAGACCCGAAACCTCGACGGTCCGGTGCCTGGAGAAATATGGCCTCACAGTCGGATGTAGTGCGTACTTTTGAGAGAAGCGGCTTGGACGGGAGTGAAGAGATACTGCGAATGCGTGACAAGCCGCGATCCGCACCTTGCAGCTGTCGGCCTGCGCCAACATGTTCTTGCTCTAGACTTCAACCCCTGCATCGTCTCATGTATTTCCAGGCGGTCGCAAACCTAAGGTTTACACTATAGAGGCCGCGGCGAAGATATACGCATTGCGCTGGCTGCATCTGGGCATTTCCGGCAGAGGTGATCATGAGCAAAAAGCTTTTGAGGCTTTCGAAGCAGACGTTGAAGTGATTTACAGTAGCTCAGAAAGCAGAGTTTCACGTTGGGTTGCATGCTATTAGCCATTGCCACGGCTATGTGCTGTAGTTGGAGAGGACTGCACATGATGGAACAGTGCTTCGTATCCACGCGCAGACATGCAGAAGTGTAAATGAAGAAGCTATGTACCTAATCATGCGTGTGCATGTATGCTCAGAATCCGTCCTTGCGCACAAATGCAAGACTGCATAGGTGTGGCAAAAATCGTCCGTGTCATCGGTTATGAAATGCATGCATGTATCCTCCCGGCCGCTGGACCTTGAATGCTGAGCCCGCAGTCTGAAGCTGAGGTACTTCGGAGACTCGTGGAATCTCTTGGACTTCACTGTCTTCCGGCTGAATCGATAGAGATTAGGACACGAAGTATCTGACATGAAGTTTTATAAGTAGCGGTAAGTAGCGTAGCAGTAGCAGCTGGATTAGGAGTAGGAGTTTGGGTAGGGTTGAGGGCGTGTAGCAGAGAAGTTGTCGATCTAGTTGTTGTGGTAGTAGTAGCTGTTGTTGTGATATGCAGGAATATGTAGCATGCAGTAGTGAGCCGCAAGCAGTGCCGTAGGCAGCCATGCAGTAGGCCCGTAGGCAGTAGCAGTAGCAGTAGCAGTAGCAGTAGCAGTAGTAGTAGTAGTAGTAGTAGTAGTAGTAGTAGTAGCAGTATCCACAGTCACAATAATGCTTGCGGTGGTGGTCGTGCTAGTGGTAGTCGTAGCAGTTTTACACGCATCGAACCAAGTCAAGTCAATCTTCAGGTTGTCTTGCTCGACATGGCACTGACCATCACAGCTTTATTCCAGCTCTCTGGAAGTGGTGTGTCCATGTTGCGGCTGCTCGCTTTCGATTACTCTGGGCACAGCGGACAAGTCAGGGTCCTGAGTGTTGGATTCTGTTTATTGAGTTCATTGTGGTGGTATTATTGGTGTTCTCCTGTTGCGCTACGGTGAGTGCGACCGACAGCTTGTCGAGACATGTCGAGACATGACAAGGACGGAAGCACACTGTAAATGCGTGAGGGTCCGTGTGAGCCAAGTTCGGCAGGGGCGCCTTGTGTGATTGGGGATGTGCTGTTAGAGTATGGTTTCTTGCTTCACAGCGCCCCCTTGCTAGGAGTGCATGAGTGCTTCTAAATTTTGGCGGCGTTGCCCGGGTTGCTACCAAACCCGGGGAACGATAGTAACGATAGTTGAGACACAGGCTGATGGGAGACTGCGGCCTCCTAAACTCTCTTAAATCCGAAACCAAGGGGCGCAAATCGAATAAACTCTGCACTTGCGGGATGTACTTCAGCTTACTTCGGGTCTACTGCGGTTGCTGATTGACACGTGCAATCCAAGGATATTTCGCATGGGCAAGATGGTCAGGATTTTCAGAGTTCTGCGGCAGATACAGGAGTTGAAGATCCTGTTGCGTCTTGGCTGCAGTAGCTCTCCTTCGGCTGATGCAACGCATGCCAACCTGGAAACTCAAACATGTCGAAGAGTCAGAGGTGCCTGCAGAGAAACAACAGTCCGAAGTTTCACTTCAATTTCTCGAACAGAACTTCCTTCGGACAATTCTGCTGAAGACTGCGGCGACTGCGGGCTTTGTTAATTTACTGTAGGTTTTGGTATCTCACGAGTAGGTAGCCGTCAAATCATTTGGGCTTGAAGTGTTCTCAGTCGTTACCAGAAATAAAGGGTTATCCATTGTGGACCAAGGAACCCAGCAAGTATACAGTCATTATGCTTGTGTCGTGATGTCTGAGACTGAGCATTGCCTCAGCTGATGAAAAATTGCCGTCGAAGTTGAAAGTCGAAGGTTTGCTGCATTTCTTGGGCTGGTGTGACTATCCTGTGGATGTCTTCCAGGGTTTCTTCAACGCAGCAGATAGGGTTGGATTAAAGCCACGGTCTGGCATCGACTGCAGTGCTCAAAGGAAGCGGAGGCGTAGTCTGGCGTGCAGGAAGCCTTACTACGCAAAGTTTCTTGGATCGCCGAAGCCGTCTTGTCCTGATGTGCAGGATGAGCTTCGCAGCGGCAGCCAAGTCCATCGTGTTCGGTATGGTCATGGCGGCATGGCAGCGTGTTTTGTTGTTGCCCGATGGTGCCCGCCTCCCTCCATCTTGACATCGAACTAGTTTTTTTGGTTCCGACCCGCTCGACCACATCCCTCAAGGCCTGAACGAACAGCCAAATGTCGCAGAGACCGACGGAGGTAGGAGGTCAAGTGCTCGTCGTAGCTGGCATGTTTGTTGCCTGGCACGGTTTGCTACACGATGTGGTAAGCATGTATTTAGTACTGGTCTGGGTACTGCCTGTGAACATCTTGTTTGAAGCCGCATCTTGACACTGTTGCCCGGGACAGTGAGAACCGTGTGTAGGATTGCCCAAGGTATCTTAGAACAAGGGCATTCTGGAAGCGCGCGTTTCTTTCGCCGGTAATGTAGGAATCGACGCACTCCCTCATCTACTATTTCCTTCCTCAGCCTACTGGTGCCACGCCACAATGTACTTCATTGCATCAGGATACTGAGGCCCTGGTAGTAGCAATGGATAGGTCTCGGCTAGGTGATTCAAGGGTCGTAGTCATACGTAAACAAAACAGCTAACGACGGACGACGACATCCTTTTCACCCCGAGTCCTTAAAGGCCTGCATCTTGTGGCTAGGTGACGACAGTCTCATCTTCGATACCTGAAACCCCTATTGTAAGCCCTGAAAACCTGAACCTCTGAACCCTCACCTAGGTCATCATTATGATGACAAGTTGGTCAGTCCTTGCCGTGCGGTCCTGAGATGCTTTTGGGAGAAGGCGTCAACTCGAGACTGACAGCTTGCGCCCTGCTAAGCTAGTTGCAAGGCGGCTACCTTGCTAAGTGGGACGAAAATTAAAAGTAAGCAGGAATTCAGTCAATAAGGTCCTGCTACATAATATCGGTAGATAGGATTTGACGGGTCTGAGTCGCTGTTCCGCGGTATGTTGCACAGCCACCTGCCACGTAGTGCAAGCTCGGTGCAAGCAATCCTTAAAGTTGTCCTCGTCAAAATTCTTATACATGCTTGTTGTGGGGGATCGCTGGGACAGTATTTCTAAAAGGGAGCCAACTCGATCTTGAAGCGATGTATCTTTTCCAGGCGAATTAAGAAGGGGTGTGTAAGAAGGCTTAATTAGGCACTTGTTACCTTCCAAGCGGGTCCTAGAGATGCGCCATGCGGGAGCCCAAAAAGATGGTGTAGGATGCACTTGTTTGAACTCACAACCCCGAGCGGGCAAGCGCGAGCAAGATTGTAAGCCAGGCATGAACCAAGCCTCGTTGAATCTTGAGCCACGCCTGTACAAAGGAACGTGAGTATCGGAATGCAAGGCATACTGTACGGTCTACATGAGCGGGATCCATGTAAGCCAGTGGAAGCACCGTGCAGTTTGTGAACAGGCTGCGATGACAATGGCTTGCTAGTGCTCCGCAATTAGGTGGACTAACAGTGGCCCCAGCATCCTGCAGAGTTTCCGAGTTATGGTTGGGGGATCTAGCGCTGCGAAGTTATGGTGGGGCGTAGAGCTTGGGGGTCAATAGTTTCAGTTTGTGGGTTGAAAGTGTCAAACTGCCAAGGTTTTTTTCTTTTGCGGCACTGCAAAAGAGCGACACCTTCTCAGAGCCGGAGAATGTAAACCTGCCCCAGCCCTACTTTCTACCTGAGCCCACCAAAAGATATCCAAAGATAAATGCTGGTGCAGCCGGTGAAAGGTTCAGTTCCTGCATCCCATCAACAAAGAGCAACTCGTCAGAGATACGGTTTGAAGATGCGAGTGCAGGGTTGGATGTAGTTCGGGATCCAGGGTCTAGATGAGGTCAGAGCTAAGAAGATATGATGTTCCTCATGTGTTTGACATACATGCATGTGTCAAGCCGTCATCATGCCACGGAGCTATCACCGAATGCGAAAGATATGACTTCCGAGAGTTTTTCCAAAACCCTAATCCCAAGCCCTTAACCGATATGAATCTAAACCCGAAGACCTCGCCCTTAAACCCCATCCCCTTGGTCGTTTTCGTTGCTGTGTGTATCATTCCCATTAGTTCTGTTTCACTCAACAGACTCCGAACCACATGCCTCGCCTCGATTGCCGGAGTGTGAGCGCCGAAACTCAGAGAGAGCGAGAGAGAGAGAGAGAGAGAGAGAGAGAGAGAGCCACTAACAGTCGTCGTTGGTTTGCAAACGGGGGAGCCACTCGGAGTGGAGGGACACTGAGGTAAACAGTTTGACAGAGCACGAGCCAGCAAAGAGAGTGGAGAAGACAACTAGTTGACCTTGTGTACTGTGAATGTACTCGGTATGGCAGCTTGCCTTGTGATCTGTACTGGTACATGTTTGCAGATTCTCCTTTGCATGGGGGCTTCAAGTAAACTGGGCTGGCACCAACTCGACATGTTAGCCATAGGGGCGCGGAGATGAGGCCGGGGTTGTGTGATTGTTCTAGTGTTCAGGGTCGGGGGGTGCCAGCCCAGAAACACAGAGGAAACAGTTCCGTCCTTGACGTAGTCATGTGAGACCCCAACAGCCGGCCGCTTAATGAAACCAAAAGCGGTCGGGTGGGCCAAGTGCCTGCGGGTCACGACGTGACCCCTAAGCCCGGCAGAAAGAAAGAAAAGAGAGAGAGAGAGAGAGAGAGCCAACCGTGGATTGAACATCAGTCCACTGGACCCCAAAGCCTTGACCCTCGCGAACGTTGAAGTGTAGGGGGCGCCCCGGCGCGGGTCTAGCTCGCTAAACCTGGACCCGAAGCAAGCAAGCGAGCGAGAGTCAGCGGGAGAGAGAGAGAGGGAGAAAGGTTTGGTGCTCCAACTGAGGATATGGGCAAATAGCGACTGCGAGCGCTGCTCTCGTGCTTTTGCCACTGCATTCGGGCTGCACCAGGGGAGTTCACAGCCTGTAAGGTTCCGGGGGTTGTGGGGCACATGATCTTATATTTCTAAAACGGAGCCGCACAAAACCGTATTCTGAATATTAAGGCTCCTACACTGCACCGTATCATACTGTAGCCCATGGTTTTCCTTGCTCATCAATGCATCTAAAAGCCTGTCTTTGCCCTACCTACCTGCATAGATAACTTATGGCTGCATCTTATCTTATCTGGCATCTGATCTTATATGTCTATCTGGCTGTGTGTATACATGTATTTTTATATGATTATATATCATATGTTTAAAGTCATGATTCACAGCCGAAAAGGCACTCGAAAGCCTAGTCGACGTACTTGGGCCGGCTCGTCGTCAGCAATCTAGCCGTGCTACAGCCTACAGGAATAGCATTTCCATGCCGTGGAAGCCTCCGTGAACCTTGATAGCGCACACTCCTCAATTTGTTCTGAAATGAAAAGTGATGCGAGGTGAGTTGCACCCCATGCTATGTCAGGAAACACAAGCAAGAATCATGACCCGAGCTTCAGCTCATAGAAGTCTGTCAGCGACTTGGCAGCGAGTGCGTGTGAAGCATCTTTTTAACACCATCCGACTATAGTCACCATATACCTCTACTTAACTATACGACAAACTGCAACAGACTATACTATGTACTAATTCAGGCCCCGATATTCCATGTGACTGCTGCTCCTTCTGCATTCGTCCTGCGATCTGTTGTCGAGGTGTGGGAATCTCAGATCACAATCTTCCAAACTGTGATGATGGGAGATGCCTGGGGCTTGATCGCGATTCCGCTCATTGAACGAGACACTTGGCCGAAGCAACGATGACGATGCTTTCAAGACATTTGGCTTTGGGGGCAGTCTATATACTATTACTAGTACTATTGCTATTACTATTCCACTTGGTCAAGCAAACTTCCAGTGCCTCCTGAAGCCATGTTTCAGCCGTTTGTATTTCGCGAGTTTCGGCAGAAGAAAACCGTAGTGAAGAAGGAGTGCATTCGCCTGGAAACGATTTGAGCCTTGAATCCGCGCGCACCGAAAATGTAGAGGGCTTTGGCTTGTGGTCGACATGACACACGCTTCGTCTGAACTCCGTACTGCAACTTTCATTGTTTTTCGATTCCACGATTGAGAGAGATCCTGTGATCAGCCTTTCGGGTTCAGGCAGATCAGGAAGCTGAAGCCTCATCTGTGAATGCATGATGTCCCTGGCTGAGGCGGTTTGGGCCAGCACGTTTTTCCTTCTTGTCTACATTAGTCTCCAGCTGGCAATGCTCAATCTCATCCTCGCTGCTGCCGGGACCGCAAGCTTGGACTTGTTGTTGTGACCAGGAGGAGCAGGGTTTCTGCTTGGTGGTATTTTCAGCAACGACAGCTGCGAACGCACAGCGCCTTCAGCAAGAGGGAACGCTTCGCCGTCCTCGTTAGAACCCCTGCGCATCCTCGGCTTTTAGATCCAAGCTGAGGTCATCGTCGAGCGTGCTGCGAGCGCCAAGGAGCTCGACCTTCATCAGCAAGCGCTGGCAAAGGAGGCGGGCTGGCACCACAAACGAGGGCGTAGCGTGCAGCATCGTTGCTGTAAAGACCCCTACAAGGGAATCAGTTGGTCGAAGAGGCCCCGAATCTGCTTGGGATTTCCCATGTCGAGGTGAACGGAGAAATCAACAACGGTAGCGATCCCAAGACCTGGGCCATAAGCCACACATGAAGGAGGGATGCAACCTCCCTTGCCTGCCAACAAATTGGACCTTCCGGCACAGTGCTTGTTGGCGGAAGCCCAACAAGACAACACGAAGCATCATCGAGTGCTGAAGTCAACCGACGTCATGCTCAGCTGTTTTTTTCGATCGCTGCTGTCCGTTCGTGGACGGATGTCCAGGCGAGTTTCCAGGCGTTCTGAAGTGCGTCAAGGGTCGTTGAATGTTGCCTTTTTTGGCTACTGTTCGTTTTCTGCTGCGCAGCACTTTGAGCTCGTAACCTATCTGTCTATCTTTATCCATCTATCCTTATCTATCCACCTATCTATCTACCTAGCTATATTTGATTCATGTATAGCATCCCTTCCAGTCCTCTTGGGGTTCTCAGACTGGCCACCAAAAAGCCTTTGCAATCCCGAAAGAGATGCAAAGTTCGAGGAAAACCATATTTGACTACATCCTCATGCCTGTGACCAGGAAAAGATGCAACCCTCCTTCCTTTCCGACAGCATAAAACTTAAATCTTAAGCCCAAAACCCCTATATTCTGAGCATTAAATTCGAGACCATCAACGCCCAAAAACATCCTACATACTGTATACGCCTCCTCGTGCAGGAAGAGATGCTACACGCCAAGGAAAGCCTTCTGAAGCTCTGCCGGTTGATGGACAGCGACAAGAGCGGGAGCCTCCCATTTGCAGCATGTGGTCTTTAGGGTTTAGGGTTCTTTGTTCAACTTTATTCCTAGCATTGTATGCACTATGCAACCCAATAACTTTAGACAGCACCGAAAATGAAGGTGCCTGTTGGCGTTGCTCTTGCTGTTCTCAATATTGCTCTGGTTTGTGATGTTAGTATGGCTGGATCTGATTTCTCAGTTTCCCTGTTGCTTGTGCTAATTAAACTCTGCTTTTGAACTTGCCACAAGCCGTCTCTCTCAATAACATGCGTTGTTTCACGGTACCAAGTATGGGTTTGAAGCTGACAGTACTATTACTGTTTTGGGTTTGGTTTTGGTATCTAGCAGCTCGACTGACTTGTTGGCCCGAGCTGGAGCCAAGGGGCTTTCGATTTTGGAGTTCACTTTTGGCTTGGTTACCCGAAAAGCCGGGGGGCGTTCTCATGCGCATGTAATCTTACTGTGTTTCTATATTGCATCCTTGGGATTCATTGACGGGCTTGTTGTGTTCGTGCTGTGCTGCCTGGGGCCTTTAAGTTGGCTTTGGGTTTGGGGGGTCAGTTTTCCGAATTGGCTTTGGGGTGCGGTGCTGTCATGATGCATCTGGTGCAACATGACGCGATACACATCAACCCATAAACCATTCAGTTTCTCCCCCAATGCATGCAAATCCCAATCCCCCCTCAGGCAGCTAGCAAGAAATGACGGAGCAAACGCATCCAAGGAAGAGCCCTTTGACCCGGGAACAGGTGGCCCTAAAGCTTACATCGAGAAAACCCTGAACCCTACGCCTTGGCCCCAAACCTTGCGTCGAAAAAAATTTGAACCCTAAGAAGCCCATCTACCCACCCCCCCAAACTCTGCAGCACACTACCTGCGATCCTAGGCTTGGACTTAGAGGAGATCAAGACGGGCTTCAACACCAATCCGAAGCTTCTTGTCGAGTTGGTGCGTGTGTGTGTGTGTGTGTGTCTTTGTGTCTGGGTGTGTTTCTTCTATGTGCTTGATACGGCTCCAGAAGGGCTACTGCTCGGTAGACTTTAAGCTTACTGTACTAGAAGCGGTCCTATACATGCGATAAGGTGATACTATAAGAACTACTACCTGCATGGGGATTCTACAGATTTCTGTCAATTGCTGGAGCGCAGATGTCTCTGTATGGGGCCGCTTGTGGCTTCGGATTGTTTGATCACTTATCCCCAGTGCGGCTTCTGGACACTGAGGGTGCGGGATGACCGCGGATAGTTCCCACAGCAGGAAATGGTATCTATTGTGGTTTGACCTGCCAAGCAGAGGTGCATCGTTGCACAGGGAGACCATACTTCGGGAGCTCTGCAGCCTAAGCCCGGCTAAGCTCAAGCAACCTGCGGACGACCGTTTTGTGAGTATATCGCCATGTCGTGAGAGTGTTGATCTCAGAGGCTCCCGCTCGATAACCAACTGACCAGTCAATGATAGCAGCAACCATGTTCGCAAACAGGTAGCAGGAGCAAATAATTCATGCCAGAGTTCAAGCCTAAACTCAGCTTCTCGATGCCCTTTTCCGAGCCCCTGAGGTTTGCCAGTTCATTGGTATCCATGGGGGCGCCCTGGCACACGGTCGTAGCTGCCCGAATAAGATCCCAGTCCGCGGCCTTTAAAGACGATGTGTCCTATGTGGCCACAGGATGCCAGCGTAGCCCCCGAAAAGTGAAAGAGCACCTGGCAGTCCAAGCCCGAATTACATTCCCAAGAATACAAATCCTGAGGCCCCACGACCCCACCCCATGAGTCCAAATTGCACACCACATGTTGGGAGCACGATTGGCATCCCAGAACACACAGACCACACTGTGGAAGGAACTCGAGTTGCGCCGCGGCCCCGTGTAGACATCAGAGGTTTGACCTTCACGTTGCGGAACAGCAGGAGAAAAACCGAGGCCACATATGCTCCAACATAGCAGCTACACCTCTACGTATCTCTACGTGTACGAGTTGGCGGTCGTTTTGGTGTCATGCTTTCGCATCCGTGTGCTTCCGCAGCTTGTATTGTCACAGCTAAGGTGTTTCTCGAGGATGTGGACCTGCTGTTCGAGGTCCTAGATGTCGAAGGCACGAAAGCCTTGATGGCTAACTTTATCATCGTGACAAGGGAGATGAGGATGAGAAGGATGATGGTGGTGGTGATGGTGTTGACGATCAAGACGCTCCTGAAGATGCGGGTCGTGGTGCCGATGACGATTTTGCTTACCTGGATGGTGTTGGTGGTGCCGGTGATGGTTTGGTTGACCTGCGATGCCGACAGTCTGTGGTGTGGGGCTGCATAGCACTTCGGGGAGAGATCCTGCAACGCCGCGTCTCCCCTGATGAGGGGGTAGACCCGTCTCTTTACACGAATATCCACTCTGTTTGGGGCACGTAGCTGAGCCTCCCTTCTCGTCTCCAATCTGGCCGCCTGGCCCTCCCCCAACCCCGATGAAACCGCAGGCACCGGTGAAGTTCCGTATGTGGAATTGGTGGACACGCTCGCGCGGCTGAAGTCGTCGCCCGCCAGCTTAGTAATAAGTGCTAGCAGCGTTCCAGGAAACCAAAGCCGAAACCCCTGTCCGATAGTTGAAACGGTGCAGAGTTTGTTGGCGCCGGATGTGCTCCTGTGTGAGGACCGTACACGGTTTTGACGGGGTGGTTTAGACCTCCTCAACACTTCCATAAAGTCGGAAGTTGAAACCATCCGCTGCTAATGCCGTTGAGTGCTGTTCAGGCGCTTTTGCGCCCAAAGAACTGGGACTGGCGGGATTGGGCGAGAATTACAGGCATCAGCAAGAAGAGCATGAGGACAAGCAGAACAGACAACAATAAAGATGAAAATGACGAGGGGACGGGGTTGATGAGGTGATTGAGGGTGTTGATGTTGTGGTCGTGGATATGATAGGCTGTAATGTAGATAGTGCTGCTGCTTGATGGTGCCAGCGCTGATGATGAAGTCTACTGATAGTGTGTGGAGTAAGCTGCAGCTGCTTCGATTCGTGAGGCTGAACAGTCGCTCACCAACTGGAACCATGCCGGACACTGCAAAGACAATGTGTCCAGTAGGAGGCCCCCCCACAATCAATTCAAAAGATAATGCCCATGACAACCCTAAGGCCCATGAAGACTGCGCCAACTGGTTAAAAACGCCTCAGCAGGGGCGATCAAATATCCAGCAACTCCGCCGCTTCTCCCTCTGAAGTTTACGTAAACCAACTGAGGCAGATCTCTTATGTCATCCTTTTTCAACTGACGGCTACTTTGCTGGCGCAGAAGGGCCAAGCTCGGGCTTTGGAGTTTCGAGTTCACCGTTCAGGGCAAAACTCGTGGCTTCACCTGTCATGTTCGCCTTCTGCCCGATGCCTTTGGCACTAAGAAGTAAGACGTTACCGAGGAAGTGAATCCGTAATTCATGCGTGTATCGTTTATGCCAATTGCCTTCTGGCAGTCCCACAGTCTTCTTGGATGATGTGTTTTTGTTCTTGTCGCCATCCGCCGGCCATCCGCACTGTATCTTTTGCACTCTGAAAGGTGCTCTGCGCCCAGCACACAGACCAATACAAGATCCCATTAACCCTATGCCCTGCCGATCTGAGTTCTTTATGGCCTTTGCGATTAGGGCTTGGTTGGCTTCGCATGCAGCTGCAACATCAAACCACTTCAGAGTCATATCCAAAGGAGCCGCCATAACTGCTGCATGTCGCCACGGACTTGCAAGCTGCACTCCGAGCCCTGCTAACGCCAAGGGCTGAAGGGCCCAATTTGTCGAAACTTTCCATTGCGTTGCTGAGCTGCAGGCGATCCAGAAGCACGTGCGCGACTTGCGCCGGAAAACTGCCCGGATTGACGAGGCTTCCACGTGCTTGACCGTGATGGAGAGGATTGGGACGAGGATGATGACTGACATGATGCTGGTGGTGGAGGTGACAGTGGTGGTGGTCATTGTGTTGGAGTTAGAGACGGATTGGGTGATTATCATGATGGTGATGTGACCCTTTGTTGGCCGGGGCTGACTCTGTTGATGATGGTGGGTCTTTGTGACATGGGGGACAACGTCGATAATGGTACGACTGCTGCATGCGTGATGAGCGAATGTCGCATGCTGGTCATGGAACATGTGATGAGCACGGGTATGATGGTGGTGACCAAGGTTATTTTCTCAGAATGTCGATGATCTTCAAGTTTGCAGCGCAGCTTGGGTAGGCTGTTCCTTGAGGCTTGTCCTTGTAATCATTTCTTATGTAGTTAGTTCTTTTCGGGTGAGACGATGGTTCATATAGAAGCTCGTACGTGACTCCGGGCAGAGCCTCCGCTCGGAGATAGGTCGTAGGCGTTTCGTCTCCACCAGCCATGCGCGCAGGCGACAGCGTCCCAGGAGCTTGGGAGCCCCATGAAGGCCGAATTCCACTCAGCTTCGGCTTTAAAGTTTATTCAATATCCATGACACTCGGAGCTCGGATTCGAATAGAATGGAAGGCAGCGGCGCTTGTGTACATACAGATGATGGAGTATGAGGATGTCATATTCATGTTACTTTACGACGGATGTCCGTCAGAGCGATTACGATCCGACGAAAAGGGTGAGCAAAAACATGCCATGAGACTCGCAGAAGGCCCCTTTGAGCACCAGCGCCCCGGAGTCAATGCAGCAGCTCATGGTTGCGAGGTGATGTCTAGGAGGTGGGAAGAGGTTGCTTAGCCTTTGAGTCCGAGGTCTGGGAGTACATACTGCCAATCACCTCCCTACATCCCAGACAACCCAAACACTGAAGCCCGGACCCTGAAACTCGTGTCTTTACATGCCGATACCTCTTTCCCTCAATGCATACATGCTTCGCCTGGAAAGTCCCAGAGTGAGTGCCGAAATCTTAAAGCCTACGCTTCAAACTCCTCACCCGGTCGCCCGAATAGGTGAGACCGGAACACCTATTTATGGTTGGAGGATCGTTTGATGCAGGTTTACGGTTTGAAGCTTCGCTGATTTGTAGGAACCCACAACCCTGAAGCCCAAACTCGCGCAAAAACAATCCTAAGAATTATTGGTTCCAGTTTCTCGAGCGCTACTCTAGCTGGCCATATATTCCAAAGCTGGCGGTAAAAACGACAAATCCCGCTTGACAAACCGCATATTCAGCTTCAACCGTTTCTGTGGTTACTGCATAAACCAGAAAAGTTACCCTAAACCCTGAGCCGTAGCCATTTTGGCTCAAGCCATTTTGGCTCAAGATATCGGCTCGAAACACTGGTTTCTCCCCGCACGCAGCTAGAGTCGTGAGGACCCCGTCCCCTTCCCGTCCATTCCTGGTCTGGTCTGGTGTTCCGATGGGTGACGCCAGTTATGATGATGCAAGGATGGGCGAAGCTAGGGATGAAGAGAGTCCTTTGCATGCTGCGAATTCAGGGGAGGCCCCCAGTGCTGAAGACCTTGCCGCTGCTCGCGCTGCCCTTGCTGCTGCCACTGCTGATCTGCCTGATGCTGCTGGACTGAACCCTTACCAGGTTGCTGCTCTTAATTCAGCTTCGCATGGCCAGAAAGGCAAGCCCCCGAAAGGGCTTGGCGGGGTTAAGAAGAACAACTTGGCTAAGAACACCAGCCCAGAGAAACGAATCAAAACTGCAGCGGAACAAGTCAGACAGCCTTCTCCCAGCGCTCCATCTGGCCTACGTGAACCTCCGTTCTTCGGAGGGGGGATGGCTCCCGCGGAACGTGCCGGAGGGGGATCAGGACCCGAGTTCTACACTTTGGATCAGAATTCGGCACCTTCTTGGGTTTCGGAGATTAGGGATCTCTTTCAGGGAGGCCAAAGGGAGATGATGCAAGAACTCAAGGCCCACACGGTTAGCATTAACCAGGTCACCGAACGCATGTCCTCGTTTGATCAGAGGCAACAGGAAATGGCGGATTTACAGAAGCGTTTCCAGAATCGGTTGGACGAAATGGAAAACGAGATGCGGGACCTTAAAGCAGGCCGCTCCATCAGTCCGGGGCCCCATAGGTCTTTCCCGGGAGGCCCGGCCTCTAGCCCCCGTAGTACAACGGCTGGTTCGGGAGGCCAACCCATAATTGATGATTTACAACTTGTCATCGGGGGATGGAAGGAAGCGCGCCGTAGTGACATCGAGCAGGAAGTCAGACGAGTGTTTTCTGAGCTTGGGGGTGGGGCATCCCCGTTGCTCAAAGACATTCACGTGCCTTTCATCCGTAGCAACTTTGCAAGAATCGAACTGCAGTTTGGGTCTGAAAGGCTAGCTGAGAGGCGCAATGTCCAGTCCCTTACGTTGAAGGCCTTGAAACAGTACTTCCTCGCTAATCCGACGAGCCAGCTGGCACAACAGACAGGCTCCAAGCTTTGGGCTGCACGTAACAGAAGTAAAGAAGAACGTGCTAAACTTCGCGCACTCCTTGGCATCAAAGAGTACTGTGAACAACACATTAATGCCATGTTTATAGACCTTGACTGGAAAGGCAAACTCTGGATCCGGGGTGAACAGGTTGTCTTTCACGTCAGCCAACACAAACCCCATGAGGGATCCCTACTTCTGAACGACTCCCAGGGCAACGAATCGGGGTGGTGGGCCGACCTTAGAGTGCTCAGTCGAGTGCTCCCACGTAACCAGGCAGACATTGAAGCAGAACTTACAGCATGACTATCCTCGACTCCCGCAGCTGCAGCTACAGGTCCTGCGCGTAGACCTCGCAAACCCAAGCCGATACCCGAATTCAGCGCCATCACGTGGAATCTCCATGGGAAGCCTTTGCATTTAATTCAAACCCTTCTGGATCGTACTGAAAATCCCTGGGACTTCATGTTTCTGCAGGAATTAGGCGGTTTCTCGGATTTAGATTCAGGTGGTTTCCGTACGGAACACCTTCTTTTTGCTGGTCAACCATGCACTGTTATTGTACACCAGGCTCCTCTCAGTCATCATGCTACAGGGATCGTTTTCAGGGATCAGCTTGATCTGCGGATCGTCTCCCGCCTCTCTTTTGGGGTTGGTTTCATTGCTGAGTGTGTGGCTTTCGGTAGACGTTTATTCCTAGGCACGGGACATTTTCCCCACCAGAAGCGAAAAGACGCTACGGAAGCATGGCTTTCATCCATTGCTCGCCTTGATGAAATTCTTAGTGCCGCACGTTATTGTGATTGTATCTTGTTAGGCATGGACTGTAATCAGAATTTGACCTTGCCGAATTCGACCTTTGCCGGACTGTCGCGATTGCTTTTCCTTGCACGTCACCGTGGACTGGAATTCAATCCCATTTTGGGAAATACCTGGGAGGCGCGTAATGAATTCAGCTCTATTGATTGGATCTTTCACCGGTGGCCTGGCGTAGAACCTTCCTTTCATTTGAGAAGGGATCTCATGCAGGCTTTACCTTCGGATCATATACCTGTTGTAGGGTACTTTCGGGGCCGTACAAGTCTCTTTGATCGTCCTGCCCGTCCTAAACATTCTTGTGGTAGATGGTTGACGGCTCCTGATGCGCTGACTACGGCTGCTCAGGACCCAAACTTCCTTTTCTCCCAGGAAACCTTCAGTACTCTCTGTGTATCTAACTCCTCCAGACTACCTTCCCGTAAATATACTGATCCTCCCGAAATCCGTGAACTCATTAGGCGTCGTAAAGTTGCTGCTTGTGCTGATGAAAGAGCTCTCTTGGTCAGGGATATCCACACCTCGCGCCTTGAAGCTCAACGAGCACATAAAATGCAACTACTTGCCGATGCTAGAGCAGGGGATAGGAGTGCAATCACACACTTGCGGAGGAGCGCTTCCCAGACCTTTTCAGAGGGAAGTTTCATTGAGCGTTTAGGCGGTCAAGATCAGGCGGTTCACAGTATGCAAAACTTTTATCGTCTGAAGTATGAACTGCCACCAGGTGAACCGGAAATTTCCCCAGAACAGGTCCAGGCCCTCCGAACACACCATGATACTCCTGCAATTCCCATCCAAGCTGCAGAAGTTAGCGAGGCTCTGGCACACTGCCGCCCTAACACGTCCTCAGGTCAGGATGCGGTATGTTATGCTGCAATCCGAGGGTTCTTTGAGAAGGATTCGAGTGGCAAGCTAGTTTCTTACTTCAATAGCATCCTATCTGGGGAACAACCCGTCCCCCAGACTTGGACCAGGGGGAAGCTTTGTTTTCTGCCAAAAATACCACGTCCATCTAGACCTCAAGACCTTCGTCCCATTTCTCTCACCCCCTGCTTATGTAAGCTCTTTTCGCGTATTCTTGTCACGCGTTTACAATCATCCTTTCCGGAATACCGTAGTGGGCAACATGCATGTAGACGCGGGGTCCAGAGTCTTGAGGCAGTCGCATGCGCTCAGACCTGCATGAAACTCTTTCGAGGGGCTACTGGTAAGGGGCTGTTTGTCATGAAACTTGATATTTCTCAAGCCTTTGACACTTTAAGCCATCACGCTTTGCTTCGCTTCCTTTTGGAGACCAAACCCTGTGCGGAAGCTTCGGTCCTTTGGGACCTTTGCCGCAACACCCACGTCGATATGCAACTTGGTAGTGCATCTTGGTCTCAGCCTCTTGGACGTGGCATTTTGCAAGGCACATCCTTTTCGGCCGATGTGTTCTCCAGAGTTTTGGATTACTTTGTTGCAGGTGTGTCAACTGGATGGGTTGCCTCAGAACATCCTACTTTTCGACGCTTTAGCCTTCCACACTTGTTGTTATATGCAGACGATATTCTGGTTTTTGGGTGCTCGCCTGAAGATTTGCAGGGCAAACTCCATGACCTCCAAACCTGTCTTGCAGCCATTGGACTGTGTATTAACACTAACAAGTGCGCTGTTTTGCACGACGAGGGAGGAGTCTGCCCGGGCGTTTGGCCGATTCGGAAAGCGCAGCCACTGGCAGGATATGATTCGCTGGTTTATCTTGGCGTTCCACTTTCACATAAGTGCACGCCTCTTGGACAGCTAGGTGTTTCCCTAGCACGCGTATCAACCTCCTTTTTTGGTTTGCGTAGACTCTTTGATCATCCATCGACACCCATCGGGACCAAGCTCGAACTTTTCAGGAGCTATCTGACCTCTAAATGGTCTTGGTGCGCTCCTATTTCATGGCCGTCCCAGCGGGCCCTGCGTACAATAGACGCCTTTAAACATACTCTCCTGCTCTCTCTCCTGAGGATTGATTTTGATCCCCTTTTACCCTTCCTCGCGAACACCCTCAGCAGGAGACGCGCGGTCCGTATTATCTGCCAGGACCACCAATCGGAACCGTGGGCAAAGCTGTGGCTGGTGCGCATTTGGTCCTTCTGGGGACATATCTTTCGCACTGAACATGACCTGCCTTTGCAACGAGTCTTGCGCACTTGTAACACGAGTCTTGTGGGTAGACCGCAGTTACCTAAGCATGTTGTGCTTGATTGCTTTC